GAGGAAGTCTCGTACGAAACGCTCGCGTGACTGCTTCTAGTGTGTGGGCAGACCGTGTCGCGACACGAGTGTCCCACAAGAGTGTTCCACAAGAGTGTCCCGCAACCGTGTCCCACAAGAGTGTCTCACAAGAGTGTCCCTTAAGAGTGTCCCACAAGAGTGTCCTATAAGAGTGCCCCACAAGAGTGTCCTACAAGAGTGTCCCACAAGAGTTTCCTACAAGAGTGTCACACAAGAGTGTCCCACAAGAGTGTCCCACAAGAGTGTCCTACAAGAGTGTCCTACAAGAGTGTCCCACAAGAGTGTCCTGTAAGAGTGACCCACAAGAGTGTCCTACAAGAGTGTGTCACAAGACTGTCCCACAAGAATGTCCGACAAGAGTGTCCCATAAGAGTGACCCACAAGAGTGCTTTTGAGAGTGTCCCACAAAGAGTGTCCTACAAGAGTGTCATGTAAGAGTGACCCACAAGAGTGTCTCGCAAGAGAGTGTCCCATAAGAGTGACACACAAGAGTGCCCCACAAGAGTGTCCCACAAGAGTGTCCCACAAGAGTGCCCCGTAAGAGTGGCCCACAAGAGTGTCCTACAAGAGTGTCTCACAAGAGTGTCCTACAAGAGTGTCCTGCAAGAGTGTCCCGTAAGAGTGTCCCACAAGAGTTTCCTACAAGAGTGTCCCACAAGAGTGTCCCAGAAGAGTGTCCCGCAAGAGTGTCCCACAAGAGTGTCCCGAAACAGTGCCCCGCAAGAGTTTCCTACAAGAGTGACCCACAAGAGTGTCCTACAAGATTGTCCCACAAGAGTTTTCCACAACAGTGGCCTATATGAGTGTCCCACAAGAGTGTCCTACAAGAGTGTCCCACAAGAGTTTCCTACAAGAGTGACCCACAAGAGTGTCCTATAAGAGTGCCCCACAAGAGTGTCTTACAAGAGTGTCCCACAAGAGTTTCCTACAAGAGTTTCCTACAAGAGTGTCACACAAGAGTGTCCCACAAGAGTGTCCCACAAGAGTGTCCTACAAGAGTGTCCTACAAGAGTGTCCCACAAGAGTATCCTGTAAGAGTGTCCCACAAGAGTGTCCTACAAGAGTGTCCCACAAGAGTGTTCCACAAGAGTGTCCTATAAGAGTGTCCCACAAGAGTTTCCTACAAGAGTGTCCTACAAGAGTGTCCCAGAAGAGTGTCCCACAAGAGTGCCCTACAAGAGTGTCCCACAAGAGTTTCCTACAAGAGTGTCCTATAAGAGTGTCCCACAAGAGTGTCCCACAAGAGTGTCTCACAAGAGTGTCCCACAAGAGTGTCCCACAAGAGTGTCTCACAAGAGTGTCCCACAAGAGTGTCCTACAAGAGTGTCCCACAAGAGTGTCCTACAAGAGTGTCCCACAATAGTGTCTCACAAGACTGTCCCACAAGAGTGTCCTACAAGAATGTCCCACAAGAGTGTCCTACAAGAGTGTCCCACAAGAGTGTTCCTACAAGAGTGTCTTCTAAGAGTGTCCTACAAGAGTGTCCCACAATAGTGTCTCACAAGAGTGTCCCACAAGAGTGTCCTACAAGAGTGTCCCACAAGAGTGTCCCACAAGAGTGTCCCAAATGAGTGTCCCACAGGAGTGTCCCACAAGAGTGTCCCGCAACAGTGTCCCGCAAGAGTGTCTCACAAGAGTGTCCCTTAAGAGTGTCCCACAAGAGTGTCCCACAAGAGTGTCCCGCAAGAGTGTCCCAAATGAGTGTCCCACAGGAGTGGCCCACAAGAGTGTCCTACAAGAGCGTCCCACAAGAGCTTCCTACAAGAGTGTCCCACAAGAGTTTCCTACTAGAGTGTCCCACAAGGGTGTCCCACAAGAGTGTCCCGTAAGAGTGTCCCACAAGAGTTTCCTACAAGAGTGTCCCACAAGAGTGTCCCACAAGAGTGTCCCACAAGAGTGTCCCACAAGAGTGTCCCACAAGAGTGTCCCACAAGAGTGTCCCGCAAGAGTGTCCCACAAGAGTGGCCCACAAGAGTCCAAGAGTGTCCCACAAGAGTGTCCCACAAGAGTGTCCTGCAAGAGTGTCCCACAAGAGTGTCCCACAAGAGTGTCCCAAATGAGTTAGCCACAGGAGTGTCCCACAAGAGTGTCCCTTAAGAGTGTCCCACAAGAGTGTCCCGCAACAGTGTCCCACAAGAGTGTCCTACAAGAGTGTCCCACAAGAGCTTCCCACAAGAGTGTCCTACAAGCGCGTCCCACAAGAGCTTCCTACAAGAGTGTCCCACAAGAGTGTCCTACAAGAGTGTCCCACAAGAGTGTCCCGCAACAGTGTCCCGCAAGAGTGTCTCACAAGAGTGTCCCTTAAGAGTGTCCCACAAGAGTGTCCCGCAACAGTGTCCCACAAGAGTGTCCTACAAGAGCGTCCCACAAGAGCTTCCTACAAGAGTGTCCCATAAGAGTTTCCTACTAGAGTGTCCCACAAGAGTGTCCCACAAGAGTGTCCCGTAAGAGTGTCCCACAAGAGTTTCCTACAAGAGTGTCCCACAAGAGTGTCCTACAAGAGTGTCATTTGGACATATGTAGCTTTTCGAACGTGTTTGCATTCGGGTTCGTGGGCTCCATCTTGTTTTTTGCTTTGGATTGTAAGTGACGCTGCAACGCCTCGACAAACTCACATCCTGTATTTCAAGAACATCATTCACTTTGCCCATCGAAGGGATATCCGCCTGTTCTTCCAACAAATCCCTCAAGAGTCCTACAATGGATAGAAACTTCCCAACCTGAGACTAGACAAATGGGACTGGTTATTTTCTGGAAAAGTTTACAGTTACAGACGTGGTCATTTGATCATGGTGTACATGACTCAACACATGTAATTTTTCCCATCAAACGTCCTTTCGTCCTGAGCACTTCACCAAGGCGCTGCCCTTCTGTGGTCGAAAGGGCGAGGAGGCGACGGGAAGGGTGTCCAGAGATCATCCTGTTTGGGTGTCCTGGCTAGACTATCCTGACCCTACGTAAACAGATCTCCAGACAGAGCACCCATTGGAAGTGGGTAGGTAGGTATGTATACCAAAATATGGAAAGAGGAAGCTGAGGAAGGAACTGCAGCCCTCTAAGAGAGTTTGTTGTTGCTGATCCTGTCAATGTGTTGATTGTAGGACACCTCATCAGATCAAACCCCCAAATTCTGCTTCTCAAACATATGCTTTGGTTCAACAGAGTTCACCCGGTTCAGCACCAGGTTCTCAAACTGTTCCTTTTCTATCCTCTTTCTGTCGAGGTCTGGGAAAGCCCAGTGCTGCTGGTGCCCTTGTCGCATGTGTCCGGCCCTCGGCCGTGGGGGTTCCTCGCCGTCTGAGGTTTTGCCGAGGACGTCATTTTGGGTTAGAGAGGTGGAAACGGTGTATTTGGGTTGGCATCAAAGGGTGGTTCAGGTTTCAAACCCATCATAGCATATCATAGCTATGCCTGGTGTTTTTGAGTTGGACGATGGCAACATTTGGTGGATCCAGTCTTGGTGAACAGCCAGCTACAATGTGCACCTTTTACTCGGTGTTCTGCCCCAATACCCTTGCTTTAGGTATGAAATGGTTCGCATGTCTGGTGGTCGAGATCAGATGCGGCAGACTTGGCCAAAAATAGAGTCTCTCTACAGTCTCTCTATCCCGCTTGTGTGATCCACTTGCACAAACAGATCTAGAGCGATTTCCTGCCCTGCACGGCTCGTGTCCGGGTTCGATTCTCTTTGTCAAACCACGCATCGAGGCGCGGCGGCATTTTCGCAGACGCGCAGCTGGGCGAGGCCGTGGCCACCGTGGTGGGGGCGCCAAAGGTGGGAGAACGCTGGCCCTCTGTGGGTGTGCGTCTACACCAAAAGGGCTGATCTTTTGGGGGGATTAGATGGGATTAGATGGATTATATAGATAGATCTTTTGTGGATTAGATGGCCATTCGTGAAGCTTGTCGACAGGGCAGGCAATTTGTGGAGTGTGCTTCAAGGAGTTGATCATCCTGCTGACGTGATGTGCAAGTCAGCTTGGCCGAGTGGGGCGACAAAGTGGAGATGACCGCCTAAGATGAGGTGGTGGGGTTGCAAGGCAACAAGGTGGTGAATGCTGTGATCCCAGGAGCTGTCCTCAAGCAATACTTCTGCGAGTATGGGACAATTGGTGCTGCCGTGCTGATTGGATTCGGTTTCATGGCAAACAGTTTTACCTTTTTTGCCCGGTGGGACCAGAGGCCAGAGGCATGGAAGGCCGACCTTAGCCCATGTTGTTCTGGGAGATACACATGATCAGGTTCAAGCCACCTCATCATGTTGCTGCTTTATCTCTTCAATCCTCTTCATCAATTATGTGATTTAAGATATTTGCAAGGGCAGGCAAATTCCCCCTTCTTGTTGTGGGCAAAGGGGACTTGCAAAGCTCTGCACAACGAAGCTTTTTCAAACGTTCTAGGAAGCTGCAGCTGATCACTTCAGTGTACCTGCTCAGTTTTGGGATTCAGCTGCTGATGCAGACACGTTTGTTGTTCTCGGCCACTTCGCAGGTCTGTTGCCATCGCTCCTGCACTAGTCTGATCATGCTGCAACTCAAGTGCTCCTGTATATAGTCAATGCTTTTCCCGGACTGTCACTGCAGATGGCTCGAGCCTCGCCTCTCTGAACAATCTGATTTCGCCGTGATCTGCCGTGTTCGATTTGATTCAGCCACTCATACGAAGGACCTATGAGCTATGCGACATCTTCAGGGACCGGACCGGACTGGGGGTAGGTACCGGAGGCGAGCTGAAGACGTGTTTCCGGGCCATTGTAGGGGGCCAGTTGGGTGGCGAGAAGGTTTTTTGGGGGGTTCACATCTTGGTTCTCTCACTTCCTGGCTAGGAACAAAAGACATAGAAAGAAAGATGTTTCGAGGCTCGGGCCCTCTCCACTGGTCCCTTTTGGCATGGACTCCAGGGGTGTGGGTGTGGAATCCGGGTAGGTCGGTCTATTACGACCATAGACCTAAGGATTTGGTCACCGACGCCGCTCAGGCAGTCAGCTTCTCTGTGGACACCGATCCTGAGACCATCCTAGCAGCTGTGGAGGCGTGGAGATGCTCCAGAGCTCGCACAAGGCTGCAGATGTTGGCAAGTTGAAGTCCACGATTGAAGGGGATGGCCTTGGCTCTCTTTCTGGTAGATAGGAGTATACAGAAAGTATAGAGAAAAGCATGTGGAGGTGGAACACTCACTGTTTTGGAGGTGAAGTTGTATGCTAAAGCACTGCCCCCATGCACTGCCCCCGTTGCACCGAGAGCAGGCGCCGAGCTTCCAACAAGTCTCGGCAAACCTGGCCGAACGAGCGGGTGAAGTCATGCGCCGGGTCCACTCGGAGGATGGGCAGGTGTACAGTCGATGCATTTCACTCGACTCGGTTGGCTTCGAAGACTTGTAGATGTTCCAACAGCCAATCCAAGGGAGTGAACATGAGTGAACTGTGAATCTCAACTTGGAAACGCATTGAACAGGTCTGTCTGTTTCCACCCAGCACTTGCAGCTTTGGTCATCTCGCCTGGGATTTGACCGTTTGTTTGGACCCGATGTGGACCATCGATCCATCATGATCCAACCCTCAGACCTTTGCATCCTGATCGGAAGGGATGCTGCATCCCTGAAGACTTTGGGGGTCTGGGAACTCAACACCTCTCGATGGACTTGAAGCGAGCGACACACCCGATGTGGCTCGTGACAGGCTGCCGCCGAACATCCTCGGGACAATCCTGCTAGGACGAAACATCCGTGGGCATCCTTTTACTCTGAGGATCTTTTGGGGTGGAGATCTTTGGGTCTTGGACCCCACCTGAGTCACCTGAGTGACATTGTCATGATGGGTTTCTGGCAACCAGTGGATTCCATTGGCCATGGTTCTCAGCCGGATCTGAGGTCAAGTCTACGACATACCAACGCCCTTAGGCGGGCGAGAAGACTCGTGGATGTTCAATGGTTTGTCTAGTTGCTTTCTTTGCCTTACGATTTCTTGGGTCACCCAACCACTGATTGTAGTGAGGGGGAATGGGTAAGAATGCCTAAGCAACGGGTAAGAATGCCTACACAAGCCACGATATTCGTTCACAATGAATCAAAGCATAGTTCTATGCAAGTGAAGCATCAAGGGAATTCCTGATATACAAATAAGACAAATCGTTTTCACCACTGGCTCTCCTGGAACCAGTGGTGAAAAGTGAAAACGATCCTATCCTTGCCACCAAGAGTCACCAAGAGCACCAAGAGGGGGCAAGAACGCCAGAGCGCACGGACAAATGCGCCTTTACCCCGAATATAGGCAGACATTTCTGCCCAAGAAGAGGTTCTACAGCTATAGATGGGAGCTAGATGGAGGCAATATGTGGCGATGATGCTCCCCCAAAAAACAACACGTTCTTGATATTTATTTGAGCAGTTTTGTTCACAGCTATCGTGTGGTGAGGGCGTTTCGGTTCCACCCCAAATCGATGAATTCATTGGGCGCGGTGCTGGGGCGCTGGGGCCGTCAGGTTGGTTCAACTTCGAAGCCAAGGCTCGGCGGGCTCGGAGCGCGGAGAACCGACGTCGAATGGTTTGAGACATTTTGAGAGGCTGATGCTGTTTGCCAGAATTGTTGTTGTTTGAAGCCTGACAATGAGTCGTTTGAGAGATTTTGAGAGTGATGCTGAAAGCTGTTTAGTTGGGTGCCATGACCCACGGAGTCCATCGCAGAGCTGATGGTTCCGGTTGGATGTTCATGTAATCAAGTCGAAGCGACGAAGCGACTGCAGGAGAAAGAGGAGGCTGTGAATGGTTTAAGGAGACTGCTGCTTGGGGCTTGGGGCTGGCATGAATTGTTGCCTCACATCTCAACCCATTCCTCAAAAATCCAGTCAACACTCAACACTGATCGAGGTTTCAATGACTGAATCTGCGTGGTGTTGGGAATGCATGGACATTTGTGAACACAGAACTTAAGTGGAAAGTTTCTGGGTCCATTCCCCAACCTCCTTTAGGAATGCCATCAACATCCCAAATTCTCAATGTGTTTCTGTATGACTCGTAGTCATAGTTGATAGGGCCGTCAGTTTTGGGGGCACCCCTCCTTATTTGAAGCTGCCCAAATCCGTTCTTTCCTTTTTCCACCCCCCCACCGTGCCCCAGCGCGCCACAGCGCGCCACAGGACGCTGACGCCCGGGGAGACGCTGCAAGCCGCCGAACGCGCTGGGCGCCGGGGCGAGGCGCCCACCGTGCCCGTTCGTTGGTCGGAGGGACGAGGCGCAGCGGAATTGATCACATGTTTGATGTAAAAAGACCAGGGGCACCTTGGGTGATCCAAAAGGCGAAGCAGCGCGAGGTGAAGAATTTGTGTTTTTGTCTCATGGAAGTGGGGAAAGCCGGTGCGGGTGGTGGTCGTTGACCCATCGCCAGATATGTAAAGCTTTTAGGGTTCGATCCGCATGGAGAAACTTGGACCAGTTCGATTCATGTATGTTCATGTCGAATAATATACACGCGTGTCCAAATTATAGGAGTTCTCAAGCACTCAAGCACTTGGCTGGTGAGAGCACCGCACGACTTCTCACGTTTGCTTCGCCTGCAGCTCCGTCAACCAGTCAACCAGAGTGGACCGAAAGCCCCACCAACAGGTGCACCAGTTTAACAACGTCAGCGTCCTTTGGGCCAAACATGTCCAAACCACGCCTGAAATGGAGCAGGATTTGTCACCCGGCAACCTGAACGAGAAACCGCCACGCATGTTCGTGGGACGTTTCATCGAAGAGGTGCTGGTCTCCAGTGGAGAGGTCTTGCAGGCACCTGACCTGCATCCCGAAGGCCGGGACGGGGCGTGCAGATGTGGTGGAAGCCTGGGCTGTGGGCGTGCAGAGGTTGGGTCCATGGATGGTATGGACATGCTGCGGACATGCAATTTTCATTTGAATGATTCATGTTAAAGCTGCGGACATGCGAGCCTTGAGAACATATGCATGCATGTAAATTTAAACATGCTGGTTGGTTCATGTCCTACAGAGACAACAAAGTGTGGGGTAGGTATTTCGTGGGAGGATCACTACTGGAAGGCAAGAAAGGGAGTCAGGCCACCCCCACCCGTGCGCAGAGGCACTGGAAGGGTACAGCTTCATACCAGCACACAATCCTTGTCCCCACAATCTTTGAGACATGGAACTCTATGAGGACCTAGTGATTCTGATCAGAATGGATCCGAATTCCAAGTGAATTCAGGCCAGTGATGATCAATTCGGGACCGGACCTGTGATGGACGTTTTGGTGCCTTTGAATACTTGACATGCTGTGTGGGTTGGCTCAATAAGACAGACGAGGGATGAACCGGAACCAGGGCGGGTGCGCACCCCGGATATTGGCTCGATAGACTGGTCTATTTCCCGAGTCAAACCCGGTCAAAGTGGGAGGTCTTCATGTTTTAATGCACACCCATGTGTTCCCGCAGTGCCTTTGTATTTTCTAGGTACATGATCATGAGGCAGAAGCTTTGTGAGGCTGGTGTTGTTTCCGTTTAGCATTGCACGTGCCTCCACGTAGCATTTGGCATGACCTTTTCAGGCCAAACCACTCACTCTCCAGCAGGTTCACAGCTCCACGTGGGATTTTGGGGGTTGATCGACTCGTGTCGATCGACAGGCTGGATCTGTCGCAAGGGCCCCCACGGCCGGTATCATTGGCCACTCGACCATACTCGACCGTGCTTTTTTGGGGGGGGATTTGAATGCGAATTTGTGATGCTGGATCAAAATGCATCTGTGGTTATGGAAAAAGCCTCAAGAGCGACCGACAAAAAAACAGCCGCTCACGTTGTTCCTTGAGCCAAACGCAGGTCGTATTGACCGGTTCACCTTTCTCAGGTGTTCATGACCTTCATGAAAAGGTATGCTTTGGGTCGTGCGTTTTTCCATTCACACTCCCCCTATGCTGGGTCATTGAAACCAGCATACCTATGGGGATCCACCGTAGGTTTTTTCTTCCACGGCTTCACCCAAAAATTCAAAGCTTCCAGCCGATCGCGAGTCCTCGCCATCAGAATTCAGGCCTGGCGACCCTCCCAGCGGCGTTTTCACGCCCATCCAAACCGGCATGTCATCAGCTTGTGGCGGACTTAACCGCTCACTCTCCAGCGAGACCTTCCATGCCTCCTCATTCGGATCTTCCACCCTTGATGAAGTGGAAGGGCCAAGCTCCCCCCTCCTCAGGCATCCAAGGCGCCTCGCCTCATAGCCACTCGCAGGGACACCCTCCAAGGTCACATTGACTCGTGCAGGGATTGCCGTGCCATCGTAGGCACGAGACATCTGAAATGAAGTGCCAGTTAAGGCCTCCACAGCTTTCCGACCCCTCTCCACAGCATGTGAAGAAGTTCCCTCATCACCTCCATACCCTTCACGGGGTTGAGATTCTCCACCACCAGGCCATAGCGGCATTTGAGCCTGCGAAGACAACGATCTCTCGCCCTCGACAGTGCCAGCCTCCGGGCCGAACTTCTCAAAGAAGAACGTGTAGCCACACCATTCATAGCAATCTCTTACATCCGAATTTCTGTTCTCCACCCAGTCATCGATGATGCATCGTCGACGCCAGGCTTCTCTTGTGCTCCCCCGGCTGAAGACCACAGTGATCCGGGTTGGCGAGAGACGTCCGATCGAAACAGGCGTCCCCCTGTGGAGCGGATGGAACTGCCGCACCCTGGGCCTCTTGAGGACCCTCACCCACCAATCACCACTGGCGGTGCCACATCCAAGGCATTCCCACCGGTCCAGGCCAGTCGGCGGCGACATGAAGCGCGCAAGCTCCCAAGGCTCATCCGTTCCCAGGCCCACATGCCTGGGCCAAGGTTTCGTCGGCGGCGCCTTCATGGCGCACATGCGAATTCGGCCATGGCTGCAAGACGAAACAAAACCCTTTGTGATCGTCGGGGTGCCGGTCCGGCAACAGTCGAACGGAGTCGGGCGATCGACGGGCGGAGAGGTTCTGTAGGTTGTGTTCCTCCCGCATTCAATAGGGCCGGGTTCATCTTCCCTCGACCATCTTGATGTTGGGCCGGGTTCATTTTCCCTCGACCATCTTGATGTTTCTTTTGAATGGGATGCGTTAGACCTCTTTGTTGACTGGCCATCTGCCGTCTTCGAACACTTCTTGTGCACAAATGCCGTCAACGCTGCCAAGCCACACACCGATGCCGCTCGGACCGCAGTGACAGTCCCAACGCCACCGCCGCACCCAGCGCCAACTTCTTCAAGCGAGAAAGCGCAGGGTCCTCCGCAGAAGCCTCCGGCTCCACCGAAACAAGCCCCACCGTAGAAGCAAATGACACCCAGCTCCGAGGCACAGTGATCGCCTTGGTCAACAGGTCAGCGCATAGATCAGCGCCAGGGATGTGCTCTGCATGCCACAACTTCATCTGCAACCGTTCCCTCAAAACATGGCTGCGGAGTCGAAGATGCCTCGTCCGCCAAGGCCCGCTTGGGGCATGCAGCAGCTGCAAACCTGACAGATTGTCGCCCCGCAAGACGTAGCAGCCTTCATGGGCCAGCGCATTCTGCTCGAGGACGTTGACAATCGCTCCAACACTTTCTCCCAGGGTGAGGCCATCAACATACCCCAGAAGTTCGCATTCAGTTGCGCTCAGCGTTGCAAAGGGCTGAGTCTTTGATTCCCAAGCCACCAAAGCGCCACCCCATAGGCACATGATGCCCTGATGACCTTTTCCTCCAGTTGGTGCAAACGACGAGTCTGCCAACACCTCCAGCCTAAACATTGAGCTCTGTCGGCCATAGGAGTCCATCTCCTCGGAACAGGGCTTATAGGCGAGCGCATAGTCAAGGGTGTTCATGAGGTACCCCACCACATGATGAGCCAACTTGAGCACTCTCTTCGGGCATTTTGTCACTCTGGAGCCCAGGTAGGAGACTGCAAAGCTCAGATCAGGCCTGGTGCGTGTTGATAACCAAAGGAGCTCACTAATGATGGTGTGACATTTTCTCACATCCTCCTGAAGAATCTCGTCCTCCAGGTCCACATCGTCCAGCTTCGGAAGAGGAACTTGGCGAGGTTGAAGATCAGGGTATCGACGAACAATTTCCCGCGTGTAGTCAGGCTGCCCAACCAACAATTCCTCACCCTTCCACCTCATCTCTATTCCACAAAATTTCAACCACTGGTGCTGAGTCACCCACTTCGGCTCTGCGCACTTCCACATGGTTGAGAGCTTCTTCAGAAAACGTTCTGCCGTAGGCCGAGGCGCAGTGACAATGAAGTCATCGACATAGGATAGAGCGTATCCCGCCGTTGAACCATCATCCATCACGTTCACAAAGTCCTCCTCGCCCCCAGGCGCAGTCATCAATCGCCACACGTTGGGCTCTGGAGTGGGAACAACCCAGTTGTGCACACCATCTTCCCACCAACGCATGTTCTGCAGAGCTTCATCCCTGTAGGCCTGCCAGTCAGAGGGAGATGTGTCCAGGCCGTAGACCGCCTTCTCAATCACCCAGCGAATGTCAGGTTCGATGAGTCCAGCTTCCACCAGTATAGACGGCGGTCTCGTCACCATCAGCCTGGACGATTTCCGAGGTGCAAGCAAGAACGCTGTGGAGACATCAGTGACCCCAATAGACCACTTCTCCTGAGCCGCCTTTCGCAAGGTGCACCTCAGCGACATTCCATCAATGCCACTGGCATATAGGTCAAAACTGCTTCCCATGGTCTTCTGTTGAGGCGGTAGGTCATCTTGACGATCCTCAAGGGCCATAGGTTGTTCTTGACGTTTTGAGGTGTCCTCCACCAGGTTGCCACAAAGAACAATGCGGGCTTTCTTGCGAGCATCCGGGGCCTTCACCGTCGGAACAACCTTCGATGGGACCACCAGCATCTCTTCGTAGCCCGGTTCATTCACCAAATCCTTCACCTTCACAGGCCGAACCGCTGTCGTTGACGTTTCCAGCGATGTTACCTCATTCTTGAGAGGCGGAATCCATAGTGGAAGATCTTTTCGAACCTGGGCTAGTGGCACGGTGTAAGTCTGCAAAACTGAGTGGACCATCTGCTGCTCCTGCGTTGGCGAGGTACCACTAGTCATTGCCGCCATTTGGTATTCCTCATCGCCACTTCGCACTTCAGTCAGCTTGTCCTCCATCTCTAAGACCATCTTCTCCATATAGTCGAGGATGTAGCCCTGCATGGTTCCTTCATCTTCACCCACCACCACGTCTTTAGCCAGGTCCAACCATAGACGCTTCCAACTCCAGCGCTCTTCTTCTCCACGGTCACGAAGTTTCAGTGCCTCGTCCAGCCCACATTCCACGCGCCCCAGTATTGCATCACGGCATGGAACTTCAAGTGGGGTTTCACAGAAGCGACACTGTCCCACCTCCTTCAGCTTGCCGATCACATACTCCCGCTGGTCACCACACTTCACCGGGAGCACCTGAAGACCACACTCACCACACACCCGGGGTTCACGGTGTGCATCATCATATCCTTTTCGAATTTCACCACCATCACTGCTTTTCAAGAGGAGAGACTCCCCCCCAGACCAAACAAAGTGACGGGCTGGTCCAACTTCCTTGTGCTCTCCCCCCAAACCATCACGTTCAGCTTGAAGAGCTTGAATGTGTAGATCATCACTCAACCTTGGTGCCGGAATCTGCGGCAAGCACGGATCAGGTGGCTGTTTCCCCATAACCCGGTGTGACGGGCGCGATGGATCAGGCACTTCCTGTAGTTCCAGAACCGCTCGATCAGCCATCGGGTCAGTGAGGACAACCACACGTGCGTGTTGAACCTGTTGACCTTCTCTCAACACATAGCCCTCCGTCATGAAAGGTGATGGTCCGAGAATGGTCATCGTGCGAAAGGGCGGAATCAAAGGTCCAAACCCAGCCCTGTGCCACCTTTTGGTTTTGACAGTGACACGGGCTCCAATTGGCATCAACGGTGTGCAAGGGACTCCAAGCTTGATACATTGACGCCGAAGTCGTTCTTCGCCAACATAGCGAGCGATGCCAGGCCACAACTCTTCACCCAGGCCACTTTCCCTGACCAACATCCGAAGCCGCCTTTTGACCTGCTGCACCTCCGTTTCAATTCTCCCATTTGAAGGGCCCTCATCGCCCCCCGTCATAGTCTGGTAAAGACCAAAGCGCCGGCAGAAGGATTGGAACACCTTGGAGAAGAAAGCGCACTCTCTGTCGGTGTGGACACGGATGATCCTCAAGCCCATCGCCTTGAAGCGGCAGTACATCCTTGTGGCCACCTTTGTGACATCATGTTGACCTCTCGACTCCAGGGGCTCCACCAGTGTGATATTTTGAACTCCCACAGGCGCAGCCAGATCATCAATGTGCTTTCTCCAGCCTTCATTGAGAGCGACTGCATCCTCCTCCGCAACCCGGTCTTCATCTTCCACTTCATCAAGCTGAGGCAGAACCTGTTCGCCAACTTCTTGATCGGCGGGATCTCCATCGCCTCCTTGATTGGCTGGATCTTGTTCATCACCTCCTCGATCGTCAGGGCGGCCTTCATCCTTCTCAACTTGATGATCTCCGTCTCCCCCCAAATCGCGAGGCAGCTTTGGAATGGCCACCGTTGCCACCATGATGTATTTCGCCTTTGTACTCAAGCCCACATCATCTCCCAGTGGCATTGGTCCCAGAATGTCATAGGACAGGCAGTGAGCTGACCGATCTCCTGACGTCCTCCGGTGCGGTGCATCTACGCCCATCAGCTCCATGCATCGCCGACAATCCCTCCTGTAGGGTTGGTGTTGATTTCGAAGATGGGTTTTCCAACTTTCCATGCTCATTCGTTTCACTCCAGCTTCGCCGTGGTGCACAATCTCCTCCGCATTCCACCTGCGCCTGTAGTCCAGGAGGAAGTTCTTTAAGCACTCCTTCACCGCTGCCACCAAGCCCGGTGCCCAGGACGACCACTCCCTCGATTGAGCCAGTCTCCCAGTGAGCGATGTCGCTTCAACTTCTCCTCTACCTTCTCCGGACACGCCATCTAACTCCTTCATTTGTGGGAGGTTGGCGACCATCAAACATGTTGGTTTTCTCTTGACGTGGCCCATAGGCCCTTGATCCATGGTCAGCAAGGATGCGCCCATCAGCTCTCTGGCCTTCTTCACTTCCTCAAAGTTCCAGAAACTCGGCATGTCCTCCTTGGTGGCCTCAGTTGGCATGTAATCCATGGGGTCTCTTGGCGACTCCATCAGGAATCCAGGTGCTGGTCGTCCTCCACAATGCTCATCAGCGAGGAGCCATAGACCAATCTGTTTCATCATCAACGCACAATCGCTGAGGGCCAGCTCCTGCTCCAGCGAAGATAGTCCCTCCAGCATGAATCGGCGGTCATCTCGACCTCTCAACGGGCGTGGACCCGGAGCTCGGTGCCTCAACCGTGACACCGTGCGGCATGGCGGCCCTCCCACCACAGCAACCACCAGTCCTCGTCGGGCTAGGTGACATAGATACCCCCATGTTCCAATGCTGTGGAGGTCAAACTGTGCGCCCATCGTCACATCCACATTCAAAATCTCGAAGCCACCCCAGTCCGTCTTAGACCAACTCTTATAGTCCTTCCCGGCAAAGAGGTTGACAATCACACCACGAGACGCCAGGTGCCGTCGCCGCTGACGTCGATTCCAGGGGCAAGTGCAAGCATCAAAGCTGTCCTGGCCCTTCATGAACTCCCACACCTCCGCAGGGACCTCAGGAAATCTTGATGACCACCATGATCGTACTTCATCATCAGTGAAGATCTCCCCCCGATCTGCCTTCTCCATGGTGCTGAGCAATTCCAGCGCCTTGGCCTCAGGTAGAACCGGACATCCCCCACGAAGCGCGCAGTCAATCCTGCCATGATCAGGGTGATTGATCTTCACTCCAGCCGCCGTCCACTGAAGCCGATACCCCAAACCCACCAGTCGATGGAGCGGGACAATGACCTCCACGTGGTCCTTGGACAGCAAGGTCTTGTCATCATCCACCCTGAACAACGTCGTTGACCCTGAGGCCAACTCCACCCTCACCGGGTACATCCTTTCCAGCTCCTGCTCATGTGCTCGACGAAGACCATTGGTCGCCCCTCCATCCAGCAATCCAACAGGTGCCAAACCATCAGTGCCAACTGGCTTCAGCTCCTTCACCCGAAGCACCTTCATACTCCGAAGTGTCTTGAGCAATGACGTCGCTTCAGAAAGCAATTCTGCCGTAGTTTCCCGACCCAGTGGCTTCTCAGGTGTTTCTGCCATTCTCGAAGTGGTCGTGGTAGGAGGCGGCGATGACCCCGGAGACGGCTCTTCACTTATGGGCTGCTCCTTGGCGATCTTCTCGACGATCTCCCCCTTCTCTCCTTCCTTCGTGGCTTTCACCTTTGAGACCTTCTTTGGATCAGTCTTTCCAGTCTTGGGTTGGTGAGGACATTCACGCTTCATGTGGTTCCCACCGCAACCAAAGCACCGGTTCTTCATATCCGAGGTGTCGTGGGCATAGGTGCAAGACGTTCCCCTCCTGCAGCCTTCCTCCGACTTCCAAAACTTGCAAGCAAGCCTTCCCGCTGCTCGCTCTTCATTCTCAGCCGCTCCAAACGACGATGCCATAGCCTTCAGTGACGTCGAGGCCGCTTGATTGGACGAGGCCGCCGGCTGAGCCAGTGGTGCACCACCCTTCTGAGCTGCAGTGAGGGACATTTCTTCGATCTCCGCCTGCACATACTCAGCCAGCTCAGTGACTCCTTCCAATGAAGCTGCATAGTCAACTCGGAGTTCTTGACGAACATTTGAAATCCTGAATGACACCTGAGTGCCGCCTGCTTTTTGGGTGCTGTCGATCATGCGCTGCAGGGCGTGCATGAGGACCAGAGGGTCCGGAAGGTTGAGGTGAAGTTCTTGAGCACGAGATAGCCAACGTCGCCACAACCGGACCTGCATCAACAGCTCTCCCACCGATGTGGAGAACTTCGACTCCACTAAATTCTTGAGGAGTTGCGTTTTTTCCGCGCCGCCTCCTGGCTGGTACGCCACATGGAGCCGGTACAGGATGTGCACCACGGACAGCTGCCTGCCAGACACCAAGTCCCGACGAAGCTGATCAGGTAGTGCTCCAAGTAGCATGGCAATTCCACGCTGTTCAATCCGTTGAAATGCTGGATCCACTTCAACTTGAGGTTTCGATCTTAGCCTCTCCAGCGGACTCAGTCGCAACCACCGCGAGTAGTGCTCCTGCGCCACCATCAGAGACTCTTCCCACCAGGCCTTCGCCGAGTTGGAGATATCAGCCATCAGCGGGAATGCCATAGTCAGCCAGTCGCCGAAGAGAATCGAAGCTCCTTCTCCATTGTGTGCTGGAAGTGAGGGAAGCTCCAAATTTCGCAGAGCCTCAGTCGTCGATGCCACGGGAATTCCAGCCCCAATCCTGGTCACCTTTCCTGCTCCACCACCAAACCCTGAAGACGATGTCCCGGTTGTGGTCTCATGTAATCCAGGGGGTCGATCAGGTAGTGACTCACCAACACCATCACCAGAGTTCCCACCTTGACCCTCAGTGGAACCACGAAGTTTCGCCCGCTCGCCCACACTATTCGCCGATTCAAACGTCGACGAACATCCACCACCTGTCAGCTTCTTGACCTCCTTCTCAAAGTTCAAGTGGGCTTCACGAAGGATGCGCTCCCGGATGGCTTCCAGCTCCTGAGACGTCGGGCTTCTCTTCACCTCTTCACTAGGAGGTCGAGGACGTTCAGAGCGGGATCCCACATCAGGTGCACGATCACGATCACTCCAAAAAGGATTTGGTCTGCTGCCGCCCATGTTGATGGGGTGTGGACATGTCGTAGGGCTCAAGTACTCTAGCACCATTCATGCTGCTCCGGTCCGCTCTCGGCGGGAATGGAAACTGAGGCGATGCAGGTGCCTCCCGCTGCCAAGCCCCTTGCCCTCCAGGTTGTCCTGGATCGCCGTCGCGAGGGTGTCCCGGATCGCGGCCATGAAATAGAGGTCCAAGAAGTCCTTCAGGAGGCGGAGGTCCCACCGGCATCGGTCCTTGGGAGTTCGGTCCAAAGGCCCTTTGCAATACCTCAAGGGATTGCCTCACCGTCTCCTGCCAGCCAGCTCCCCGGTCCTGCCGTTCAGGTGCATAGCCAGGTTGTCTACCACCAGCCCCGCTTGCCGCCGCCGAAGATCTCCTCGCTTCAATGGCCGCTGGAGCTCCACCCACTCTCTTCACAGCAGGTGGCATTGACGTTGCCTTAGCTTCCTCGAGGAGGGTGTCGAGCCTCTCATCAGCTGCTCCCACCCGCAGTTGCCCTCCTTGGTCTCCTGGATCCCTCAGCCTGCCTCCTTCTCGGGAGGAGCGTCGTCGCCGCGCCATCAAGCCGCTCATGGGGACCAGCGACCTCAAAAGAGGGTGGACTTCAAAAGCTCCTTGGGCTCATAACCTGTGGTTATGGAAAAAGCCTCAAGAGCGACCGACAAAAAAACAGCCGCTCACGTTGTTCCTTGAGCCAAACGCAGGTCGTATTGACCGGTTCACCTTTCTCAGGTGTTCATGACCTTCATGAAAAGGTATGCTTTGGGTCGTGCGTTTTCCATTCACAGCATCATTGGATTGGTCAACTTGGAATCCATGCATGCTTTGCTTCTTTATAAAGATATGATTGCCTTGGTCAGTAATTACTTTGCAATGTTTGATTGAAGTGCCCACTACACGAAATTCTGGACCAATATTGTGTTTCCCTTGTGTTCTGTGGACTCTGTTGAGCTTTTGCTTACACTTGCCACTAAGGACTTGTCTAGTTCTAGTGCCCTATCAGCGGAGCAGTCCCAGTGCAGGTAGGTATTTGAGAATCGGATGGCACATCCCGGAAGGATGTCTTTGGGCTCCGCGACAACAGGACTTAAGCAGAATGAACAAGTCTAGAAGTCATCCTGGAAGTTCTCTTGGTGTGCTCCAGAACGTCGGGTTCCTTGTGATCGTTTTTGGAGATGGGAGTGCAATCTTGGAAGATCAGGTGGGGCTGTGGGTACATCTGTGGGCCTTGATTAATGGACTTCGGGGGTGTCATTGTTTGGATGGAATGAGCTCTTCACCTATTTGGGTTTAATTCGGAACCTTGATGATCCAACGGGGCCATGCCACTTTCCATGGTTTCAGGTCTGTTTCAGATGATCCGCCCCCCCTGCGGAGACGGAGACTTGATCCACCAAGGCATCACCGGTCCTTAGGCCTAGCTCCCTGGGAAGAGGCCCGGGCGAGACGGGTGGGAGGATGGGTGGGATGTGGTGGGCATGCAGAAAGCGAGAGACATGGGTCTCTTTGAGGATGAATCAATGAAAACTCCAATGAAGCGACTGCAGAATCTAGAGATAGAAATTGGAATGCAAGTTGGAGAGCTAACAACCAGTTCTTTCCCGAAAAGCTTCATAAAGATTGGGCAAACAGCGGCAAAAACTCGTCTTTGGACCTTTGCATCCTGGTCCAGGAGTGTGCTAAATTCAGTGGATGCTGATGCCTAGGTGAGCAACAGCAGAACGTGATGTGTAGGGTTCGTCCCTGTAAACCTGTAACAGTCGTTCAGCAATTATCACTATTCTAGAGAAAGGCTGGCAACCTAACCATCATCATCCACGGTTACTGGTATATAATGGGATATAATATACACAAGTAGTCTGTGTGTGTAATTTGTCTCAATAATCGGGGACAGTTCAAGGATATGTTGTGCCACAGAATCGAGGACAGCTGGATTCGGAGACGTGTCAAACATTATTGTTTCCCATACAATGAGCAACAGTGTGTCAGACAAGGCCTAGAAACACTAAAAGACAGTATGGCACAAAGCAGAACTTCCGGAGGCCTGATGGGGGACCACTCCCGCTACAGAATTTGATATGGAGTGACTATGGATATCCTTGGTGATTGCCACACCAAGTGATTTGTTTTGCACGTGCGAACTGTTTGCGGACCCAGCTGTTTTCGATTGCAGGGCCATCCTGGTGGAAAGGATCCTAAGAACCACCCAAGTAAACAGAGAGTATCCTGTGAGTTGACCAGTGAATTTCACTTAAAACATGTCACAACACATTGAGCATCTTGAACTCATGCTGGTTTCATAGTGGCTTTGTTTTGTTGTATGTAACAACGTACAAAAAACGCATTTGAATAAAGTTGCTGACCTCACTTGCTTGGTTTTGACTCGCTTCTTCATCCAGGAAGATATGCCGAGGTCTTCTACAGGCTCGGGGTAGCGAGAATTGACTGTGACGGATGGAAGAAGTTGGATTGACCTTGCGATTCATTTCTTTTATGAGAAAATCGATATACACGTCAGCACACTGAGGGGCTCAGAGGTTTGCTTCAGAGACCATTGTTGGCAAAAACATGCAAAAACTAAATGAGCTTCCGACAAAGTCTAAAACTCAAGCAGCCTCCCTGTGAAGGTGTTTTGGATCGGTTTCTGGAGGGTCTACACACCTGAGGTACTTGGAGCCCTAGGGTCTGTGAGAATTCGACGTGTGATCTTGAGAAGTAGGATTCAGGTCTCCAGGAGCGTCTAGGGATCTTTAGGGCATGAGGTGGATTCAATACGCCCTTTGATGGAAGCGTCGAGACATCTTGAATTCGCCTCATTCGTCTCATCATGCCAAGTGTAGAATACGTGCCCATCGATTTTCTCCGTGGGCATGTGTAGACACCGGTTTTGCACTGAAGGTCCTTCTGTTCCACGATTTTACGGCGTGCTACTAGCTGCCCGCAAAGAAGGAATTGCTTGTTCATCCTAACCCTGAACATCAGTACTTCCAGCTGAAGTCAGGGTATCTTGGATATTGGTGACAGGCGCACTAGACATGGGACTAACTGGGCCAAAACACAAGTGCTCTCGAGGTATTTACATCCTCCAAACCCAAGATAGCTGCATGATTCGCTGCATGATGTATGTTATTACTTGTTCCTGTGATTTCATGTGTGTTGATTTGGGTGTCTTTGATGGAGGTGGTTACCCAATCATATAATATACAAATGTATTGAGGTGGCAATCATCCCCAACCACGCAGCACAGCGCTCAGGCAAGAAGAGCAAAGGTCCCAGCTTGCCACGTGTTCGAGAAGACTCTCCAGTGAGATTTCCTGAGTGAATCAACTCCGGTTGATCCTCAGAAGTCACCCTGGGGCGGGTTTTGCTGCCTTGAGACTGTTGAAACATCAGCTCTTACGAACCCACAACCACCCGGGGCCGACGGGACTCTTTGGGCCGACGGGACGGGCACAGACTCCGAGAGTGACGGGTGAAGGGTGAAGGGACATGAGAACGGCCACGGCCAGATGGGGCACACGGGTTCGGGGAAAGGAGTCGAAGATGATCTGGGGGGTTCGTTGGACCCCCGGAAAGCCACAAGGAACACAGCACTTTGGGGCATAGATCTTGGGAGTGTCCCAGTAAACCCAGCAACAGGAAGGGTAGCAGATTATGACAGTGGTGATAATCACTAGTTCTGAGACAGACCCATACTAAATCTTACTAATCATCATCATCCACTTATATTTTGTTGGGTATATCTAGCTTACTTACCAGCGCTTAGTTGATGTGAATGGATGTGAGCCTTCAAAACAACGATTCCATCAACAAAAAATCATACAAACACTTACCGCTTATGAAAGATATTCTACTGAGAATTGGTGCTGTGATCCGGTGCTCAACGCCTGAGGAGGGTGGAGTTATGAGACCCATGGTTTGAGTCAACACAGTTAAGCTTCTCATCCATTTCAGGGTTTTCGGGATTCCCTTTCAATTGTCCTACGGTAGGCATTTGATGTACCTCTGTTTGAGAGTATGGTTCTTCTCACTGGAAAAGAGCCCAAGCAGAATCTGGCCCGAGCGGTGAAGTAGCTTTCTGTGAAGAATCACTTTCAAGTGCAGCATGGCCCATTTGAACAGAGACTTCGCATGGAAGGGGAACCTTGGCCTTCTTTGGTTCGGAATTCTGTGGGTGCATATCAGTCAGTCACATCTCGGTTTCAGGCTGTTTGTTGCAGTGGGTGCATAAAGTAATGGTGGCCACGCGGGGAAACTCTCAGTTTGCTTTCACCGTTTAAGGCTTCCGCGGTGTCCAACTCCGTCTGCGGTTCCAACTTGGCAACCCCAATCTGATGGCGGAATATGCGTCCATCCAAAAAACGTGGAGTTTCTGTTCCGACTTGTCTTGGGGTAAGACGCGTTTGGGTTTGCACTTCTGACATGAAGCGCTATAGGCAAGCGTAAGCAGTTTCTTAGATAATATATTATACAGTACAGTTGAGGCCTTTTGGGGGGATCTGAGGGACATTTGTTGGGGATTTGAACGAGAGCAGTTTTAGAACCGATGTCAGGCGGCTTTGGCAGGGGGCATGTTCCGCTTGAGTGGTTCTTTGCAGTGGCGAATTCGGAGTTGCAAGCTGCCCAATCAAACTTGCTACACAGTTTACTACTCGCGATCTAACTCATCATAGTGTATACAATTAAAGTGGTAAGTTTCAACTTGGGTTTTGGATGAACCTCGAGTGAATGTGAGCAAGCTTGCAGTTATAGTAATTACTGTAATCCAGACGTTCATCGGATAGCTTGGGATTGAGCCATCTACTTTTGCAGTCACTGTAGATTATCTAAGTTGGATTGTCAACAATATAAATCACTCAGGAGAAAGATCAAACACGACTATAGTGGTAGATCCAATGTGATTTGTTGTTTAGTAACACGAGAAAATGATCACTTGAGGTTCTCCTTGTGCACATCTCCCGGCACGGCTACGTCCCGTCGGTTCGGCTACTCGTGCGCGACTCTCGTGTCTCTCGGTAGGTGGCAATGAACATGTCTATGAGGACACTGACATAAAGTTTTCTTTGTTTAAGGCCCCAAGTTTCAGATTTTTTTGACTGAAGTAGAGAAACATTGTCATGTGCTTTCAAAGCAAGCAGGGACCATCTTTGGAACATGGGTCGCAATGCGACGCATGTGATCGGAACTGGCATGTGAGGTGTTGTCTTGCAATGAAACACAACACAAGTTGACAAACATCCTGGCCGTGCTTGTCATGCGATTGCCTTGACTTCTGAGCGGCACGACTCGGAGCAATCCAGTCTTCGGGGATAGGAGCAAATGCAAACAGAGAGAAGGGGGCTGTGCAGGGTTTGAGCTGTGTGTGTGCTGGGGTGGACCTGGGTGGACTGGTTCTTGGTGCTTCTGGCTTTTAGATGTAGTCCATATATGTAGTAGATACAGCTCAGGACTGTCCAACAGCGACAGGGAATTGGTCAACCAAGTTGGAATGGTTCTGAACATGTTCGGAGTTTTCCGTATGTTTGATGTACTGAGAGACTAATACAACTCTAATACAGAGGAGTGGATGATCTTTTTCAGGTAATGTCGGCTGCGGCGGATGTTCACATTGATTGAAGAGACGGTTTTGGGGCGCTAGTGATGACTTGCCAAGAGCAACCTCAGAGCAGCAACTCTTCCCACGTTCCTCTTGAGACTCGCTTCTGCGACTCACAGACTCGCGTCGGGGTGGGCGATGGATGGGTAGGCGGCATAGCGAGCTTTTTGGGATGTGCCTTCGCTCTAAAGAGGTTTCACTATAGGGCCTTTATGTGAGGATTGGTTTCACCACCGATGTTTGCCCGTGACCGTAGGCCATCAAAATCCACTTGCAGTCATCACCATTCCAGAAGTGATCGTTGTTGATAGGCCCTGATAGGCCAACCAACTCAGCATAACCCAGCAATGGGCAGGACCAACCAACTTGGGACCATGCCATGAGGTGTTCGTCAAGAGTGTAATTAAGACAAAAACCTGGTTTCTGCTCGGTTTGGCTACATCTTTGTTCCGTATTGAGGGAATGCCAAACAGATATGCTCCTGTATGAGTCCGGTTCCACAACGACCAGCCAAGTACACGTCAGCCAACGACCAATGGGCGCGGTCGACCAATCCGGAATCGCAGGCTGATCCGGGCGTCGTGTACGTGGAGAGGAGCCGGGCGCACGTGCGCCGGTTGGATCGTGTGTGGCGGGGCCAGGTGGGTCGATGGTGGAGGGTTCTTAACATAGAGCAAGTAGATGGCACTGGCACTCCAAGATGTCTTAGACAGATGGAGGGTCCATAGAAAAACCACCCAACTTGTTGTTTTACATGCCAAAAAACATGTAGATTGCACGAATAGCCCGAAGATGTCTAGACGACAGATGGAGGGTCCATTGATATCAACCACCTAACGACTGGGGGCCCTGCCAGTGCCATCGAACTCTCAATCCACCAAGCACTATTCCAAGCACCTCTAAGGCTCGTTGGTAAGATCCAACTGAGAAATCAAAGTACCTATGGGTGGAAAAGGGGCTGATTCATGCATTTTTGCTGGAGACGCTATACTAGGGGTTTATTGAGCATGTAACATAAAAGTGGGAGTTGAAACTGTTGAAACCACCATGCAGTTGCTGTTCTGGAGGGGAAGATTGCTTGAGAAGCGTCTCCTATGGTCTAAAACATATGAGGAAATACAGATGAAATCAGGAGTGGATGAAGAGGATACATCCACAACGACCAGCGCCCAAGATGACATTTAACACCTTGGCATCTATAGAGCTATATACTTACTTATGCTGATGTTGTGGATTTTGCCTGTCGAAAACCACAATCTTCTCTATCCCAGGTCGCGTAGGATTGCTTCAGTGATTGCTTCATATTGCTTTCCATCAGTTTCTTGGCACCTCTGCCTCTTGAAACCAGGAGTTCGCATCTCACAGAAGATGATGAGTCGCCCTTGTCCTTCATTGCCGACACGGCCAGGGTTGACAGACAGGGTTGGTGGGCCTGGAAGTGGGTTGGTCGGTGGTTTCACCTCGTTGGTAAGTTGCCTGGGCCGGTTGCAGGTCTGCAACCGGCCTGCATTGGTTTTTGACTCTTTCGCTACTGGGTGGGTGGAGTTTTCTGTGCTTGATTTATCTAGACCATCTTCCTATAGATGTCCTATAGTGAACTCCTTGATTCATCCTACTATAGTCATACGATCTCTTTGAGAAAACATTTGAGCAACTCTTCAATCATCGCCGCCGAAGAAAAGGAATTTCGATGTTCAACGTCGAAGGCTCCGATCGAGGTCGAAGGCACTCAATGGAAAGGTGTCTAATCGGCATACACTTGGTCAACCCCCTCAATACAGCTAGCTTCCTTTGGGCCAATGGGTAGAGTACCCCCTCAATATAGCCCCCGATGGGCCAATGGTTTGAGTTGCACACCGCAGTTTTTTGGAAGATGTCCATCGAGAATTGTTTGCAATTAAGAAGTTTCTTTGCTGCTTTGCTGCACGCAAGCAACATCAAGCAACTGTCAGTAAGCCCGGTACTACAAGGAACTCAGATCAGGATTCCGAGGAACTTGAGGCCTGTCCTTGATGTCTAAAGTCCTTGCATCACGAGGTCATTGATCTAGGATACGCAGTTACAGTTTACGGGGCGCAACCTTCCGGGATCTAATACTGCAGTGTCTCATATACGTAAATATACGCGTGAAAAAAAAAGGTAGGCACCTTTACACCTTTGAACCAATTTTGGAAGGTAGCCACCTTTTTTTTGATTTTTGTATATCATATGATTTTTGAAGGTAGCCACCTTTGTAACCAATTCGATGTCGGAATCATTATGTCCATGTGTTATTGTTGATCCTGATCCACCCGTTCCTGCGAATATGTTCCACAGTGGTCGATTCGTTGAAACCGCGATCGCCCCAGGTGAGCAACATTGCTGGCCACCGAGTGGGAGGGCTCATGGGCTGGGCTTGGAGTCGACGTGATGTGACGTTGGATGAGATGTTTGTTCATGGTCAAGCAGCCAAGCAGGAAGGGACAAGAAACATATATCAAACAAACAAAGGGGCAAACAGCAGAAACAGATCCGACACAATCGAAACGAAACGGAGTCGAAGATTTGATGTGCCTCATGAGACAAGGGACCAAAAAACAAGACCCATGGAAGCAAAATATATAACCTATATAGGCAAGTGCAAACTGGACATGGAAATTGATTGTTTCTTTCCATGTATGAAAATGGCGGTGATGCAACCCACAGGCGACAGACCTATCCCGGTATCTCCCTATCCCTCCCATACCTGGTGTCGGTGAAGCTCGCTTTGACCCATAGCCAAATAGATAGATCAATAGGGAGGGGGTTAGCTTGTTACTAGTTGATTCCTGAATATTCCCGATGTCTAGCATCTATGTCGATTTCACCTTGTACCACCTTCTACCAGCCCTCCATGTGCAGTGAACGTCATGCGAATGCGAACGGCGGTCAGGTGGTGCCGGCGCCCTATGAGGGTGGACCGAGCCTCTACGCACGATGAGCGACCGAACCGAACGCGTAGTGGAACGAGACCGAGCATGCTGGAGAGGTCATGCGGGGTGGCAGATGGTGGCAGAGTCTTCAAAAGTGGAAAAAAACACAACCTCAAGTCTAGTTAGTTCAAATTCCTAAGCGTGAAAACAGATCATCGTCTGGAAGTTAAGAGCTGTTATTGTAAGGAGTGCCTAAGGAGTGCCCTTGTGGTTTGGACTTCTGTGATCTCTTCAGCGCGATGTCACGAGCGGCTCGTTCGCGTCGCCCAAGGCGAGAGATGTAGGGGAATTGCAACTGAAGCCAATGTACAGTGGATCATTGTGGACATGTGTTGGCCTTTAGTTCGAGGGTCTAGAATATGTTTTGTAAGCCGGTGCGTAATTAACTAACTTGTTTGATTTTGTTTGCATTTATGTTTGTGTCAGTTTAATTGACCATTGTGTATAATATAGGCTGGAGTTATGACCAGCGCTAACCATTGGTCACTACAGCATTTCTGTTTGCCAAACCTGTTTTAGCTTGGCACAAGTACTATCCCCACATAGAGTTCCCAGTACATTGCCTTCACCACCTAAAGCTGAGGCATTCTATTCCATTGCTGGATGCAAGCTTACTGTGGGACGTTGATAGATGGTTCAGGTCTCCAACGACTCTTCAGCGGTTGAACACGAGTCTTCGGAGAGTTGAGAAGGACAAAGTAGCACATGTCCATTTGCCTTCTTTTGCTCCTGCTTGGGCCAGTTTCCTGATGTGTTTCCCTGGCTTATTCTTCCACCGGTTTTCGGTGGAAGAATCAGACAAGCCTGGAGATCTTGGATTCTCACATCGAGCATTAATTAGAAACATTTAAAATCCAAAGGCAAAAGAAACCTCGACCAATTCAACATCATCCCATGAGAGGAATGAACACTTGGGATGGTCCAGGCGATTGGTTTTGTGACCTGTGAGCATGTCAAGATTTGGTAAATACAAGGAGCCAAAACACAGCGAGACCACTGCGGGGTGTCGTTTGCCTGGAAGGGAACTGGGTTTCTGGTTGCAGCTGTTTGAGATTTGATTTGATCTGTTTTTGCCAGGATTTCTTACCTTCTGTTGCAAGTGGACTTGTAGCTGGCATTTGCCCCAAGACCCACTTACATCCCCAACAAAAGAGGTCACGACCATTTATCCAAACCATATCAAGCCATCACGTAATTTGTGTGGATTGTTGATCCACAAAGTGGAGGACGGGCGCTGCTCGGTTTGATCCATTGAGGACAGGGTTTGACATGACGAGCTTCCTAGCCCTGGTCACAACTTCCCAGCCCTGGTCCTCCAAGCTTTTCAAGGGAAGGAAGATTCTTAGGCAAAAGTGAGTGGATTTCATTAACGTTTTTATATGTGTTTGATATGTAATTTTTGATTGATGTTGTGCATGTTGATTGATTTTGGGGGGGAAGGTGCAGTGGGTTTCTTAATCTCTTGGTCTTGTTTTTTTGGGTGATGACATATTGGAAGTCCATTGGATGCTACTTTCTCCCAAATAAAGAAGAACCATGAAGAAGCACATGCACATGTTGCCAAGACGGACTTCCCATCCGTTTGTTGTCCCTCAACTTCCAGCAGAGTGTCTCACAAAGATTGGGGATCCATGTCCCATGTGATGAATTGTTTGGGAACTGGAAGACATCAGGTCTATTCCAATCTCACCAAGTCTTTCTAAAACTTGAATCACAGGGGTCAGCAACCAGCAGTTGGGGGACACCATGGGACACCCAGTGCCTTCATCCACCTTTCGCCCACCGCAAGAGTTCCATGATTCATGGAGTAGGTATGGAGTAGGCCCAGCTAACATACATGGAGTCTAGAGTTTTTAACCTGCAAAATGAAATCGGACACGAGCCTGAAAGACAGGTACTTGTAACATCTCGTATCCGTGTTCGCAGCTACTTGGAGTGCCCATCTACCAAATGGAGTGTCATACTAATCACCAACAACGTCCACCTGCCATATGCCATTGAATACCGGCCACGTAAATTCAGCCCCTCCACCCTGGGCTCCTCCACACTGCGCTTCGCGGCTGCACCCGGGCTCCAGTGCCGCGCGTGTGGATCGACCGCGGCCCCCGAACGAAGCGCCATGGCCACCCTGAGGGCGGCCGCCCTGCTGACGTTGTCAGCACTGGGCGTGTTGGGTTTGAAGACGAAGGATCAGAGGCTCGAGCGTGGCCGAAGGAGACTCTTGCGTGGCCGAAGGGGGGGATAGAATGTTGTTTGTGATGGGAATAATGCTAATTTAACTTGATCCTGATAACTCTCAAGCTTGCTGCAGGCTGAGTCTATGAGAAGCCAGGGTTTGAAAGAGTGGCAAGAGTTCAGCTCCATTTACAGTTGTCTGAGGAGATTCGACTATCCTTTCCGATAGCAGAGCAGCACTGAGCAGCACGGTGCTTTTGTCGTCCATTTAAGTTATAGAGTTTGACTTCCTTTATAATATCTTGGATGAACACCACTACCCCATACTTGGACTTGCAGGCATCCCTTTTTGAGTCGAGTATCCTCAACAAAAGACTTCCACGGCTTCAGGGGCGCATGCAAGATCTTTGCCATGTGGGACTATCATCCCAGCAAGGCAGGACGGGTGGCATTCAGGGGCCACTCGTGCATTGTATGAAGCGGTATCATGTCATTAACACATGTGCTACTAGCTATAGACAGACAAGTGACTTTTTTGACGTGTTGGAACCTTGTATCTACCACATCAAAGAGCTTTTGGAGATGAATCAAATTACAAAGCCCTGTGGGCATGTATTTGTCCTGAGGATTCCAGCTATCTATGCGCTGTTGCCAGCAACATGGTTCCTGGAGTATTTTCAGTTCACATTTTTGGATGAGGTCAAACCAGGACCGAATTGTTGGGATAGTCTAAAGACATATGTTGTATCCCTGTATGATGTTCTTTTGTTGAGATTTATATACCTAGCTCCCATTTCACCTCCTTAATAGGAAAAGACCCTATTCACACGGCTTGGCGGCGAAGACCGCCCGCACGGAAATTTTAGCACCAAACACACACCCCACAAGCAACTTAGTCAGTGATGTGTCCCCCTATTACCAGACGTTGTGTCTTAGATATCGACTACGCTGGTACCTATCTTAGGCGTGTTGCACTCAATCAGCCCTAATAGGGAAGTCAACAGATGCAAACACGCACTCGCTTATCAATAGTTGTATTGTTTTGTTTCGGCAAGGCCACAGGCAAGCACGCACGATGTCAATAAAGCATATTCACTCGGTGAGCTTAACCAACATCGCCAACGATTTGCTCGTTTTTCATCGGCTTGTAACGAACGTTAAGAACAGTACATTCTAGAGCAAAAAAGCAACCCCCTCCCCAAGCCAAAGCTGACAGAGCGATCTAGCAATTACTAGCGGCTTACGCGGTCATTCAGGCTGTAGGTGTATATAAATATCTATACCAGGACCATCCAATGGGTGTCCAATGGACTACCCTACACTACTTAAGGATCTCCATTGGACACCCATGGGATGGTCCAGGTATGTATTTCTCTTTATAGACTCTAGCTGTGGTCAGTTCTCACGTGAGCGTCTTCCAACCTTCGATCTAAGACTTCAGCCCGTCCTGGCTCTCCGAGGCGTTGAAGATTTCGGGCGACCACCGAACCTCCGGTTCTCCTCCCGTTTCCCAAGGTCAATAAAGGTCAATGGTCAATGGCCCCCATTCTGCCCATATTGAACTCAATGGCTGTTGGCTCAGGCTTCCTCTTCCGTGAAACAACCACAGGTGTTCGATCGGACAGATTGGACAGACATGATGGCAGTTTCGCAGCGCAGCGCAGCATCAGCGAAGACATGGGGAAAGACATCGAAACACGTTGACCGCATTCCTTCGATCCTAAACAGTGGCCGTTTTCAGGTGCCCTTCTTCATCCAGAAGGATTTGGAGTCGTGGGAGAAGCACTCCCATGGGCGCTGTGGCCCTCCAGCGCTTGGGCTGCATTTTGGAAGGGAGGTGAAAGGGTCAGAACGCAGTGGCTGGTTGAGAATTAGGAGATGGTCTGGCAAACAGGTGTGAAAGGTTGCATCACTGCATGGTGTTGGTTCCATGAAAGAACTATATATATATATAGGACACATGTTTGGGGGTGGAACCTTGTATTTGGTATTGGCTGCCAATGGTGAACAGTCGACGCAGGTACATACAGTAGCACTTAGCACAAGCTATAGTGAATGCTTGGCACACTTGGTGTACGTACCAACCACCGCTTGGACCTTGCACAATTGCAAAGTCATCTCAAAAGCTATCCCAGGGCCTTCTTAGTGACCCCATTCAATCTTCCACCGGTGTTGTTAAGGACATCAGGATTAAGGATTTGATTAACTATATAATCAGTGATTCACTCTTTTCAGGATTTAAGTAGCCTCAGTGTGGAATGGCATTCAGTGCTTTCCTGGTGGCAGCCTGCTCATCATGCCCATGTGAAGGGGTTGCCCAAGATATGTGACACCCTGAATCGTTTGAAGGAAAGGTGTAACAGAGTGTCCCCTAACAACATAAAACACTAGAATCTGGAAGCTTCCCTGGACCTTTCACTATTCTCTATAGTTGGTGTTGAGGGATGCCTATCAATCATCCTTTCGTCTACCCCTCTAAGTTCATAAATACAACAGGTGTCGTCTTTCAGAAACAATTTTTTTCTGAGATTGATTGCGCGAGCGTTGCGATTGTTCAGTGCGCGTGACAAGGTCCTACTCAATAACACCAACATCAAAGAGTACATCCCGGATCTCCCGGCCGAGTACTTCAGGCAGCACAGATCTTTTTTACGCAACAGACACGGCGATGGTGCTGTGAAGGGAATATGAGGATGGCAGTGTTGCGGTTTGCGCAATCCTTGCGGGGGGGCTCTAGAGTTGCAGGAGTCCTATTTAGCCATAGTCAGGTAGCTGCGATTAGTATAAGCGGATGCCAAGGAGGAGATCTCCAGTGTTTTTCGACTTGAGCCCAACTAAGTGCTGTCCAAGTCAGAACTGTAGAGTTTCTCGGAAAGCATGCGGAATTTTCCTCAGAATTCAAGAGGTGTTGAAGCAGAAACTCATGTACTTTCTAAGAATTCCTCATGAATTCATAGAAGAGCCTCAGAGGTGTTCCTTTTGTGCCTCCCTTGCGCCTTTTGGGGTCTGAAGGTCCCTACCCGACCCGCGCACGGACACGGACGTGACGGACGTCGTGACTTCCCTCCGCCCTCTCCAGGCTGCCGGACCACGGCGCCCGGTCGGACGTGATCCGCTATGCGCTGATTTATCACCACGGAGGCGGAGGGGATGGGAGGATTCTTCCGCACCGGCCGGATCGGATGACAGTAGAGGAGAGGGAGCTCCCTGGTGGTGTCCAGGAATGGTGAGAGAGATGTGTGAAGCCTTGACCTGGATCCAACAAGAAGTCAGAGGGTAGTATTATGTCATTATGTAGTATTGCATGATGAGTAAATGCTGGAACCTAGGCTTGAGGCGAACAGCTGGTGGGGGGTTCTACTCCGAGCCCCCTCTTCTTCAAAGATTGGATTGGTTTCAGGGGTCAATGTAGGCATAATATATTCCAGTCCCATGGATGGTCTGAGATATTCAAACAACTGTGTGTTTGTTTTACTTTCCGAGGCATCTACATGGACACAGACATCCTGGTCTTGAAGGACCTCACAGAGGTCTTGGCCGCTCAGCTGGAGTGACATGCTTCGTCTCAGCGCTTGACTCTTCTATTTTGGGGAGATTTGGCATGTGTTGTGTTCATGATTCTTAAGCCACTTGGACTGGCACGTGAGAACCAATCATACCAAGACGATCAATCTACCATCTTTTTGGGCTGTTGGCCTTGACATGTTTGGGGCTTCAGGGAGCCAAGAGCGATCGAAGCAGATCTTGCAGGGCCAGAAGCCTCCAGCGAAGCTGGAGGCTTCAGTCACTGGGCTGGAGGCTTCAACCCCCCCCTCATCTGAGACGCTTGGTCCTTGCTCACTGACGAAACATGCCGTGTCTTACCCCTTCATCACGGCTCCGATGAAATCCGTCGCACAGATGTAATGGACTGCGTATAGTATAGGAGGTCTTCTTTGTGGAAAATGGCTTGCCCCGTTGTGCCAGAATTCAACATATTTGAGAACCCCAACATCCGAAATTTGAAGCCGCCCTTGGTACAGCTCAATGATGCTAAATGCCCTCTCGTGGTTGTTTGCTACGCGCAGCCCAAAACATGCCCGAGGACAAGGTCACGGGTGATTATGACCTGATCTCCTATGCCCACACCAAGAGCTGCAAAGCCTTTAGCTCCAACTTCTTGGCCGGAAGAAAGCCTCTTGGTCGCTCTGAGCTCCCCATTGGGGCAGGACTGTGTGGAGATAGGGAGTCCCCCTTGTAAACAATGCATTGAAGATGGGTGGATTGTTGCTAGGTGACATTGCGTGACTTTGCGGTTGCATGGGCATACGCCTGCCTTTGTGGACTGGGATCCTGGACGGATTCACCTGAGGCTTCACCTACCTACCTACTAGCCCACTTGCAAAAGCAAAGTCTTCGTTCTTAGCCACATGTTTCATGTTCCAGCATTCTCATCCCTCACCTGGGGTCGTCGACGCGTTTTGCCAGGCATAGCCGCTTCATGAAGGCGGTCTGGGAGGCGCAGAAGGAAGCCTTGAGATCTCATTGTGAGTCCAACAGTCCCGAGAACAAGGTTTGCTGCCCTGATGATCCCAAGAAGAGGCGCCTGGGAGTCGGTTTGGTCGGGAGTGGCGAGAACGAGTTGAAGAAGAAGCAGTGGAGAATGGAGTGAGGGATGTGACAAGTAGGGCAAGAACAAGTAGAACTTGGATGAAGCTGGATCAGTGTTTCCAGGCAGCAGGGCAGGAGGAAATCGGATCCAATAGATCAGAGTCAACCCAAAGCTGCATGAAGTCCCAAGCTTTCTTTCACACGATTCCTATGTAACGCCGATGCAACAAGCAATGCCAGATCAGAGGCACCACGAGTGGTCTGGGACCACCGTTAAGGCCCACCGAGTGTTTCTCCCCACAAAACCATGCAACAGCCTACTTCATGGAAGTATGTGGATCACCTGCATCTTTCTTGGGACGATTGGGTTTGCACCCCACTCAAATCCAGGTGGCAAGTTCGTTATTTTTAGCTGTGCAAGACAGGGAGACACTCCAACCAATGCGCTTCACGTCCATATATATATATATACATATAGCCGCTCTCCGAGGGGGGTGAAGATCCTCCACAGAGAACCTTCTCCTCCGGTGCTCCAGTCCTCCCCTCGTCGCTCCTCGCGGAACAAAAGGCTCGTTGCGCCGTCCTCGTTGCGGCGCGGCGCGCGGAACGTTGCGGCGACCGCCCTCAGGTGTCACGTGCACTGGGGTGGCGCTGGAGAGATGGTCTCCCATCCGGTCTTCGATCGCACCTTGGAGCCAAGCCAGCCAAGCCATGCCATGCTGAAGGATGCATGGCCAACGGGTTCAGCGGGTCCGCAGCGGGCTTGAGAAACACAGCGGGTTTCTGCTGTGTTACTTTTTTGGTGGGAGAGGTGTTTGAGGAGTAGAGTTTGTGGCTGGGGGAGCTGTTTTTTCTTCGGTTGGTGGGGATGAAGTTATGAAGGTCTTGGTCATGTCACCCACTGAAAGTCAGTGAGTCGGCGAGTACAGGAATATGACTCCTGTCGTTTTGACAAAGTCATGTCACAAAGGCCAACAATAGGTGGACAATCAAGTGGGGGAATAGTGATACCCATCCAGGTGCTCCCTTGTGACTTACTGATATATAGACTGCATATGACTGTATACTTAAAGACTTAAAGTTCTTTGCCGCATTCTACAGTGTTCAGTCACTTCACTAGACAAGCAATTGGTCCTCAGAGGAGACTTTGGAAGGTGTTTACTGTTCGGCAAACAAAACATAAAGCACCTGTAAGAAGCATAGCTTCAATTTCCCAGAAGTGTTGCGTGTTTGTTTCTCGCAGGTTTCTCCGATCAACACAGCGGCTGAGGCATGTCTTCATCCATGAAGAGCTTCTGCTATGCAGAGGAGGCAGTGCACACAAATGAATGTCATGTCCGTTTTGTTGGAAGCCAAACAAATTGAACTTGATGGGAAGGAGTGAGGGAGAAGATTCCATTCAAGACTAACACCAAAACAGTCACTTCTCTTCATTGCCAAGATTCTTTGAGAAGATGGGTCAAGGTTGTTGGACAACTAGCTGCCAGCCGGCTGGTTTTTGCTTGACGGCGGAAGGCGGAAGATGGTCACAACTGGATTGACTTGTATAAGTTCCTTCAGAAGTAGACAGAAGGATGGAAATAGATGGAACACATTAGGGTCACCACATGGAAAAAGAGGCCACGGCGTCACCTTTTTTGTTTGTCCTCAGATCTACACTTAAGCAGTGCACGACTGACGGTTCACTGAACATGCAGATGTGAAGTCTGTGAAGTAGTTGTCTTCTGTGCGGAAGTGGACAGAATGCAAGATGATCATACATGTATTACAGTAAACAATCACTATTTTTGAACAACACCTTTCCATCACATTCCTCTCATCATATGTTGCCAATTCTTTAGGCTCGACCTCGGCAGACGGTGTTTTGGTAAGTCTCTTTGGGCTCGTTTTCGGCAGCTGCCCTGGACCTGGTCGGTCGAACCCACCGGACCAGGATGGCCAGTCCTTTGCTCCGGAAGGTGCGCGGGAATGCGCGTACGACGCCGGTCGGGTCACTGAAGTGACCGGACCAAGGGTGACTGGTTGGTAACGGTTGGTGTGTTTCCAGGTTTGTTTCGGTATGTTGCGGACTCCAGGATCTCCAGGTTGTTCAAGCATGGGTATATTGAGGAGATGTTGAGGAGATGTGTTTGACTCTATATATGTGCAATCTGATAATCTGATATATGGGAACGAGATGCTCAAATAGGGAGACTTCCCCCTGGAAGGATAATGGTCTACCTAGCCGATTGGGGCGGGAAAGGGGGTCTACCAGATGCAATTTTACGCACCCATGTCTTTGTGGGTTTCTTCAAGGCTATGTGAAGACATGCTGTTGAGAGTTGGGGATGTTGGCTGAATGAGTTGGGCATGGGTATAGATCATATGTGCAGAAGTTGAACAATTGTCTTCGGACGTCCTAGAATGAGCATACCACACTCGCTCGAAGCCAAGCATGTCATCTACATCTTTGAGCAAGTTATCCTATATATACACCATTTCTGAGAACTGATTCTGGGAGAGCAGTTTGTTTTGTGTATCTGTGGCCATCCTCAGTAGGTAGACGGTGGGACAACATGCAAGATGGTCATGTGTTCAATTTCTTTCACACCAGCACCATGTGCTTCGTCAACGGCAACGACTTCGGTGCTTGGATTGACACTGAATTTACACATACTCAGACACTCCATGTATGGAATATAACCCTAGAAGTATGCCCACATTGGCCCCAGGCACCACGGCGAAGGGATGCAAATATGTCTTACATGTAGTGTTTTGGGATCCGTTTATGTAAGACATATTTGCATCTTCGATTTTCGACTATGTAAGACAAGAAAAAACATTTAAAAAAAACACCTTGATTACTTTCGACTATGACATCTTCCCTTCACCGGTGGACCTCCCACCCGGTTGAGCGCCTTCTCTGTGGGTAAAGCAGCGCGTGGAAACGGTCGGCACGGAGACCAGGCATGGGCACCGTGCTGTTTACGAAGCGGCTCCTGAACGATGCCTTGCCCTTCTTCAAGTCGGTGAAGACCAAGGCGTTCAGAAGAAAAAACGTCGACCAGGTGGACAGAAGAGAAACGTCGACCAAGTGGCAGGAAGAAATCACGGAAACCAAGAAAACCGCCCATTTTGGGTGGTGATCGGATGGTGAATATTCATAGTCAGGGTGGGTTCTATAAACCATCCTTTGGGTAGTGCTGGACATGGATGTATTTTGAAACATCCCGGCATGGGTTCTCTTGGGAATCTCTTGGGAGGTTGTCAACGAAGATACAGGATTCTATATAGAAACTGAAGAAGGTCAAACTGGCCCACGGGGTTGAACTGGTGCCCGCAAGCAAGAAGCCTGCGTGTGACATGAGGAGCTAGGAAACACCTTTTTGTTGCATTGCATTGCCTCTTTGCTGTCCCACATCTTGCAACAAGTTGAAGATGGCACTTGCAACGGATCCCTTGAAGGTCAATCTGGTCTAACATGCTTTGTGGTTGTTCCTTCCATTGGGACTACCAACCAAACAACTGCTTAGGACCAGACCGCTCAAGAGGACTGCGACCACTAGATCTCTCAAGAGAGACAACTGCACCATGGTTTATCGAAGGAATCCTGCACTGACACGAACAATGAACATTGTTTCCCTATGGATCCACATACCTTCTGAGAAGGTGATTGGAGACTGTAGGCTTGGAGGGTCCAATTAGCTTCTGAGAAGGTATGTGGATCCATAGGGTTTGAACACCTCCTTGGTTGAGTCATATGGTAGGTTGACCTTCTTGGTAGTGGCCAACCAGTAACCAGGGCTTAGTTTCATCATGGTTCATCGCAGGGCTTAGCACTGTTTACTTAAGTTAAACCATGTGCAAAGCAATTATATTATATATTCAACTGGGGACAATGGCACAATGGATGATTGTTTGTTAGCTGGCGTGAGTTTTTTTGTGTTCCATTATCCGTCAGTGGCTCCAAAAAAGTTGCATGTAGAGCCTTTGTAGAGCCTCACGTACTGAAGTATGTGAAGATATGTGAAGGAATGTTGGACATGAAACCAATCTTTGGCTACAGGCCTTGAGCCTCATCTTCAACCCGCCCCGAGGTACTTGAACATATGTACTGTCGGTCGCTCACATCCCCGGGGTCTAGCTGCTAGACTCAGGACCCTACGCAAGTCTCAGGGCTTCTAGTGGGTTCTAGTCTCAGCGCCTGACAGTTCCGTGTCAGACTGGGCTTTTCCCCAAGTCTGAGACACCCAGATTGCACTGGTCTGCGGTACCCGATCTTGTTCCAGTGCCTTGCTGATCAGGCACCGTTGGATCGTTTGGCATATCACCTCTTCAATGCCCAAGGATTTCAAAGGCGGAAGCGGTTTTGGGTGTGGCAAACCCGTGGGCTTCAGGAAGAAGTACGCATCAGATCAGAGGAACATGGTATTTGTATGGTTCATGAAGTGGTTCATGAGTATTTAAGGCTGGGTTCATTCGTAGGAAGTTTTTTTAGAGTTTGATATGGTTCGGTTTAATATTGTGTTTAATTGTTAGTTGTTGGCCAAACGGAAGCGTTTCTCAGTAGGTTCGTTTTGGGCGACACTTCCAGGATGAATTGGTGATGGAGGCAGAAGCTCCACTTTCGGGGGAAGATTGAAAAGGTCTTTCAACTAAATAAGCCACCTGCTAGGGCTGGACATGTTTTTGTGAATGTCGCACCTTAGCAGGCAGGAAGAAGGTACAGCCATTACATTCTGGACCATGGAAGCGCTCAATCAAGTTCTTGGTGACAGCAACTATAGACTATAGCCGCTATAGCCACAGAGCCGGATGGTGTGGGTGGTTCCGCTACACGTAAGCTTTGTATTAGCAAATGGGAGTGACAGAGTAATAGATAAGTTCATCCTCATACCTTCTCCTGGCTGCGTTTCCGGACTTGCTTGATATCATCTGTGGGCGGCCTTTGCAAGTCGTTTCTGAAAATACGGCCTAGAACATCCTAGAGCTTCACGACTACATCCAATCACCACATGCCTGTGCGGCTCTTCAGTTTGACCCTGCAACAATCTCCCCAATCTCACCAGGGAGTACGATGGCAGCGCCATCTTCGACCCGAAGCTCTTTGTGGGCGCTCTCTTTCGAAAGAGCCACTCAGAGACCGATGATCCATGACCTTTCGGGAGAGCTCAAAAGGGGGCGAGGCTGGCCTGGCATATACAGCAAGTTCAAGTGTTGAGCTCATAATTTCGATTATGTTTTCTATATGTTGTGTGTGTCCCACTTAGTGCAGGAGTTCTTCTACCAGTCAGTCCAGTATTCCTTCATGTCACTTCTTCATTGTCAGAGATCTACTCCCTGAAATAGTAAGACGAACGAAAACACCACCACCTGTTTGGTCTTCGGAACATGGTCAAACCGAACTCGAGGGCCATTTTCCCATCCACGTTCCCCATCGTGTGATGATCCAAACCTCGATCCCCAAGCAGATGCCAGGTCAGGCAACAAGCACCGGAGTCAGTGTGAAACATATGAACTGCCCATCAAAAGCAACCGGAAATAGTGACACAAGCCACTTAAGACCCCAATCATCACCTTATTTGTTAGAAGCATTAGATTTGGAAAGCCCTCATTGGACGGAAGATATTCAACTACTTGCAGTGCTGTGAGTCCAATGGTATAGGACCTTCTTTTTCCTTCCATGACCTGTTGAGCAGGCCCCCAAAAGGTGGTTGCTATACCCTACGGATCCAGTCGTACCTTCTCACAAGGTGATGTGTTCGACACTGTTATGTAGGTTTGAAGGGTCCAATTACCTTTTGAGAAGGTGCGACTGGATCCCTAGGAATAGGACACCATCAAGTGGTCCGTGTCCCACATGCGGAGCGCTGAGGCTTGGGGAACATCACGCTGCCCCACATGCCGGCGGATGATGGCCCTGCCTCGTGCGCGAGTGGCGGATCCGGGAAAAAAGATGCCACGACGTGCGGTGAGAAGATGTTGGAAGGTCCAGGGATCAAGTTTTGCAAAGTAGAAGGGGGACCTGAAAACTAGCAGATTGACTCGATTTGGAATTTTGGAGGATCTACTCAGGTGCCATAGGATAAGTGTCTTATTTATGTTTGATCTATCCCCATCGACGAAGCAGCCCAGATTAGCCACCACATGAACGACACACAAATGTGTTTGTTTGCATCAACATCTCCTCATTCTTATACAATTTCACCAATCCCTATAGGCCCCATAGAAACCGCTAGGCTAGCCACCCAGCGGGTCGAACGCGTTTGGGCCCAACACGGCGGGTCCACGTTCCTGCCTCCGCCTCTGGGCGCCGCGTATGGCCGCTAGGTACTGTGCCTCCGAGGGGGAGATGTGCCGCTGCAGCGGGAAGGTCTACTTCGGCCGCAAGTTCGCCAACGACCAGGAGGGGAAGATGGGGCGGCTCCAGTCGTACCCCTGCCCGTTTGGGCTCCAGTCGTACCCCTAAACCCTTTTTGGGATGCCTAAGGATGGGATCCATTCCGTTGTTTGGGGCTCCAGTCGTATTTTTGGGTGGAGAAGATGGGACAGGGGGTGGGTGCCAGGGGGAGTTGAAATACCACCGAACCTGAGGATATGGTTGGAGCCCTATAGGGATTGAGCCAAAGAGATTCATAGACACTCCGATGACGGAACTCACATGGTTAGGTTGGATGGCATGGCTAGGTCTTCAGGAGGGGAAGATGAGATAGACTGACCAAGACTACTTGGAGGGGACACATACTCCGAACGGAACTGACGGCAGGATCCATGGAAGATCAAGTCTGAATTCGCGAAGTGACCAAACCTCTCTTCTGGTAGAAAGAACAACTCGACAACGTTTGTGTCACGGACTGGGTATCAAATTCAATTTGACATGCCTGCATCATGCCCCTTCTCATCAAACAAAGGTCGAACAATCTCTGGGTGGCTCTATAGTATCCCACACTTGGGTACCACGATCGGTCACTGAAGCTCCAAAAGAGTTTTTTCTTGCAAAAGGCTTTGGGAGAAATGCATTAATAATGTATTAACCTCACCTTACATCAGAAGCAATGCAGTATACAAATACCCAGACGCTCCATGGGACTGCCATATATGCCGATCAGTTGGGGTGGTGCCAGGGGGTTCAATGTAGGCAGCATCTATTCCACTCCCATGTGTCGTGTCTGGGGATATAGAGATGGTACCCGCCAACACTACTCGGTTTGCCTTGACCGACCGGTGGAAAGACCCGAACACTGAACCACCAGGACGGTGACCGCCTGACGTTGTCGGAGATGACCTTGGCCCAGCACCGCAGTCGCCATGTCAATGGCGACGTGGCGCCTTCGGCGAAGCGATAGCGAGGGAATTCGATGGAACGATGCAACGAACGAAAAGGGCTGGGTTGTTGACTTGCTTTCGGGTGAGAATTGTCTCAGATGTTGACATTCAAGATGTTAGTTCTCAAAGCATCTCAAACCCCAATGTGGCCCTTTCTTTGATGTTGATCTCTTTATTGCTGATAGCGCTGTCCTGTCTTAGAAAAATCTATATAACTACATGTGACTATTCTTCTACACTACCATCAGTGGGTGCACCCAAAACTGACTGTTCAGACACCCCCCCAAAGAGGGATGCATTTTGGAGGTGTTGTTGCTATACCATCCAAGTAGCATCAGATTAAGCACCCTTTCATCTTGGGATGTGCCCGATGTACCCTAAGGATTGCCTCCTTCTGCCAGCCCCACCTGAGGGAAACCTTTCATTTCACCTCTCCCCTAAGAAGCCCATCCATCAGATGTCGCATCGCGTGACCCGAAACCGATCGAAAAATGATCGCGCCGTCCTTCCGGCAAAAAAAGAAACAGGAAGAGAACGAACAAAACGAATCCGAACAAAAACGCATCGTCTTCCCGTTCCAAGGCGTGCAGCACGGGATCCTTCGAATCGGATCCCCAGATCAATCGGCCCAAGCAGTGTCTCTGCCAGGCGCACCGTCCGGAGTCGACCCGGTCGGTCAAGATCTCGGTCGACCGTTTGAACGAAGGGGTGGCTGAAGGGGCAACACAGCCTTCTCCAAGGGACTGGCGGACTGGTGGACTGGTCTTGGAGCATGCCGTTCGTAGAACACATATGGTGGTCTATGGTGTATATAGTACATGTATAGGCGTTTAACTATATATGTGGGCTTGGTCAGGCTAGGGATCGTTGCCTTCGTACGTTGTTGTGTGGAAGTATTGGAGCCAAGAAAGAGGTTCAAGCTCCATGGCCGCTTTGCTAGCTGTTTGGACTTGCAAAGGATGTTTTCTCATTAATAGATTATATAATTCAGTTATCATGACCGGTCCGGTATACCATGGGCGGTGCCCGACATGGAGGACCTTCATACCGGACGGTAAATGTTCACTGCCGACTTCTCAAGGATGTGCTGCTATTATGATGTGTGGTTGCACCCAGTGCAGCAGGTTCCAAGAAGAAAAGGGACACCTCCACACGGTTTCCATGAAAGGCACCTGGAATGAGAGGTATACCACTTCTTTTTGCACCACCTGGAATGAAGGGCTGGATTTGGGGTGGGCAGCTCTCTCTCCTGCGTGGACTCTTCCAGCTAACTCCTGGGGATTCACCCTCATCGAATGTGACACAAGGATGGGCGCCTCCAAAATCCGAACCAGATGGGCATTATATGGCATTATGCTTAGTTTTGCGTGATAAGAGAAGCCCTTCATTTGCATCCATGGAGACCTTGCGAACGGTTGCCGCCCAAACTCAGCAGAAGGCGCTCCATGGAGAAGCGCCCAAGAGCCCTGCGGATGATGGGCCAGCCACACTCTGCGCCAATGAGGGCGAGATGTGGCCTGGCAGAACAAAGAGTTTGAATCACCCTGTTTTTGCTGCACAGTGGATTTTCCTGGAGTGGAGCCCCCAAAAAGGGGATTGACGAACTAGACTAGACCCTTAAGGATGTCAGGTCGGTAAGGTACACCAGGGGTAGCCAATCCTGGATCCTAAAGGTGTCCTGGCTGGACTACCCTACACAATACTATCATCCAAGGGGATCTTCAGCCAGGACGCCATTTGGGTTTGTATAGGTAGGGCGTGTCCCAATACCAGTAGCAGTCGATAAAAAGATGATCACTGTTTGTGAGGAAGGCTTGCAACCTAACCATCGTCCGCTATCCAATGCCAAGGAGGTGCCTTTTCTGTGTCATGGTTTTCTATTTCTTAGGTGGGAAGGATTTGGTGGTGCCAATAGAGGTCCATGCTCTTGGTCCATGGTTTCATCATTGTTTTTTCGGGTGCGGGGGAGAGAGCTGGGAGGAAGCAGGTTTCGTGTGTCGTTTTTCTGCTGTGAGCTATGGCAGCCATGTTGGACAGAGTCTGTGGGAAAAAACAAGACTTTGATTGCTTTGAAAGCAACAGGCTTTGCTGCTCAACAGTTTTCCCGCCATGACTTTGCCATCAACATATGGAACACACCCTGGCTTGCCTCGTGGGAAATCGGGCGGGCTGCCGTGTTTGGCGCGTGTTTGAGGTGTCGGTGTCAAGGGAAGGCCTACTACGGCAGAAAGTTTGGCAAGGACGAAGCCTTTGGAAACACCGGAGAAGGTCTGAGATCCTGATGGAGTTCTTTGAAACATGCATCAAAGCAAGAATTTGTTTAGTTGAAAACAAGCAGAAAGGACAACGTTTAGAATATTTGAGCATCATGCAGGTGGCAGGTGGCAATCGAAGCGTTTCGATTCTGAGCTTTGGACCCACCATGGGCATCTATATATCACTTTAAGATTCAGTCTTTGGATCTTGTTTTCACCCTCAAGCATAGACGATCCATGGGGTGACGCGGGAATCGAGCGGTCCTTGTAGGAGATCCACTCAGGATCGTTCAGCTGGGTGTGAATATGTTGTTTTCTTGGAATTTGGGGATGGCAGTTTTGTTATGTTTTGTTTAGACATCCCCATGTAATCCCGTGTGGATCGTTCTTCTTTTGTTCTTCCAGCCACAGTCATGCTATTAGTCAAAGAAGGCAAGGGATCCAATAATTCAATATAGATAGAACTCATTGAATTTGACACCTCTTCGCCCTGAGGATCGATCCTGTTACCGAGTTTTGCCGCACATCATGGTTTCAGTACCCTTTTGGGGGTTAGAAGCGGAGGTGCTGGGACAGTAGTGTACTAGCTGATAATCTTTTTCAAGGTTCGTCAATTTTTGTTCCCAATCTGGAGGAAGCTTTGGGCACGGACATCCCAAAGTGCGAAGACGAAGGGCAGCCCTAGAGGAACAACAGCTATACCAGGAACTTCCCAAGGCTCTACTTTGTCACCACACTACCAGACCAGAAGATCAGACAAGGTGTCTTGGCTTTGAGCCAGGAACCAGCAGATTACAACAGATCTTGAACCGCCTGGACATCGTTTTTTTCCCAAGCCCTATTCTTTCCATGCGCTTATTTTTCCATATACGTTTCCTTCGTACATTCCACGGATTCTTCTTTTGTGGCCTTCGTGTCCCCATGTTCTGGCCAAATCGCTGGCATGTTGGCATTGCGGACGGCCGCCGGCGAACTCACACCCGGTCGACCAGGAGCGGTCGGTCTTGAGCCTCGCGGAGACGGTGACCTCGGTCTACCGAGCCCAGATGGTTCCTCGGAAGCGGAGGAGTCCGCGCGCGGAGCGCGGTGCGCTTTGAGTTGATGGCGGGATGGAGGGATGTAGAGTCCCAGTGGGTGGGGAGAGTGAGGAGTATTCAATCATATTCCATTTATTGGGGCATTGTGTTTGTCAATGGAGGAGTCGGACCAGGGATGGCTTGACAGCCTGAACAGATCCACAAGGTGATTCTACGGATTCGTCGTATGGGTCCTAAACGATCACGCCTCGTGAGGACGCGGAAGATGGAAGTCAGCTAGCATAGTCTACTCAGACTGGTGGATGTTGGGACTTCAGGTGGTTCCACCTCAAGATATCCTAAAGGCAACACTTATTTAAAGACGTGTTTTTTTGAGAGCCAGAACGAGACCACTGACTCTTCAGAGTATGTGTAAATCAGAAAGATCAAGGAAAGATTTTTAGGCCAAGACAGCACCTTTGTTCTATACCAAGTAACTATCACTTCTTAAGGATTGTTTTCCATCATTTTCCAGATATATATGGTATCTTCTTTTTGGGGGGGGACAGTTTTGGGCAGGAAGAACCCTCCGGCACCGGGGCAGCCCAGGTCTTTGGACAGATCCGCTGCTCACCCCAGGGCTTCGGAGGTACGGCGCGTACGGCGCTGGCGCAAGCCGGCGGGGGGTGCGCAAGCCAGTGGAACCTCCGATTCATGAGAGAGACGTGACGTAGATTTGTTCACCACCTAAGTTTCATACATAGGAGGAATTTCATGGGCCATGGGTGTTAACATGTGTTTGTTGTTTACCTTTCGGCGTCATCCACTTCCACTTCCATGTCCGAGCGTCACCCAAAGCATCAGTTTGGACATGACCGTGGGGTGCTGTGGGCTCGCAGGGTCAGTTTTCCGAGGAGGTCACAGCACTTGGTGTGGACTCTTCACTTTGGACAAACAGGTTGTACTACCGGACATGACCGTGGGGTGCTGTGGGCTCGCAGGGTCAGTTTTCCGAGGAGGTCACAGCACTTGGTGTGGACTCTTCACTTTGGACAAACAGGTTGTACCGTCAAATACCATGCCTGTTGATGCTCGAGGGTGATAGCCCCTTGTTTTTCTGGTGTGTACAAATGTGTTCAAGAAGGTGCAAGTCCAAGGTAGAAAGGTCAAGGAAGAGGAAAGTGTGTCAACTGTTCGGCAAGTATTGCTGACAACGGTCCTGGATGACATACGGTTGATGGACGAAATCCTGCATCGATAAAGCAACACATGAGGTCCTCCAATAGTAACGACCCCCCTGCCCCCCAACTCAATGTTGTCTCAATGTTTGCTATGTGTGATGCAGGATTTTGGTCATTCAACTTTTTTCTGTTTCAGGCCATTCCTCAACTCAATGTTAAAGAGGGAGCGCGAGGGTATACATGAGTTTGTTCGTCCAGTGGTGCAGGATTTTGTCCATCAACAGTATGAGTCAAGTCAATTAATAAGATGTATGTGCTGCCTTTCTGGTATTTATGAACCGGTTCAATCCTGTTCATAACTTTCTCGCATTTGTCCACGTTTGATCCCCAACCAAATCCGCTTCGTACTTCGTCCATTCGCTTCTCCCCAAATCCGACCTCGTCTTGAACCTCCTCGACGTCTCGGCCATGTCTCCACTGGAGGCGATCCGTTGCTGGGTGTCTCCAAGCACTGCTTCTGTCAGACCAAACCTGAACGACCTGCGACCAGCGACGGGTTCCCCGGAGCCGCACCGAACACCGGCGCTTTTCGGTTGTTATTTTTTGTTGGTTCCCGGTTTTCGAGAGAGAGAGAGAGAGTGAGTGTTTTTTGTTGAACAAACACATCAGTTTCTCCTTTGAAGACCTGAAAAGGGGCTGGGAATTGGAGGGTGGTTTGAATTTGGGTCCTTGTGCCATCGGACTGTCTTTGTGGGATGGTTCACCCGATTGCAATTGAAAGAACCACAGAACCTGAAGTGGGTTGGGAATCTGCCATCAGTCCCTGTCTGCACACCCGAATATTTGGATTATATTACTAATCCCAGACACTCCATGTATGCCATAAATGCCTACATTGACCCCCAAAACCACCCCAATGTAGGCATATATGGCATACATGGAGTGTTTGGGAATTATATATACCCCAGACACGACTAATGGGACTGCCATAGGACTGCCGAGAAACGGCCAGGGGTGGGGGTCAATGGGGCGGCATGGCAGTTTTAGCCAGGTGGTGCCTGGGTACTGTATATCGCTATGCTGGGTCAATGGATCTATTCAAGTCGTCTGGGGGTCAAAAGCAGGAGAGTTCGGTGGACCGAGTCGTTTGTTGGGAGGGTGACATGGTGGACCGGAGCTCCAGGTTTTTGACCCCATCCTAATGTAATCTGATGTAGATTGTCGATGAGCAACCCAAAGTTGGTCAAGTCTCACCCCCCAGGTCCTCACAACCTGTTTCCTGGGCAAATGAAAAGCAGGTCCAGTTGGCTTGCACTAGACTGCATCAATCTTTATGGGGATTCTGATGAGGTGACCTTATGATGGCTCATCCCCTTTATGAACTGGGCCTTTATGTTTTGCAAAGAGGCTTTCCAAAACAAATCCACTCAGACAGCATGTGGCGATGTGGCACGTTTTGGGATGTTGGCCCAGCTGAGGCTCCGAAACGGAGGATCGCCGTTGTGCCAGCATGGCGACCGCGGAACAAATAAAACCGTGGGAACGAGAGGGCTCTAGGCGGGGGGGGGGGGGGAGTGGTTTGCCAAATTTGGCTACGAAATAAAGATTTTGGTGTTTTCGTTTTTTTCTACATATTATGGAAGAATACTTACGTACCTATAGCGAATACTGGCTGATTTGACGTTGACATTCAACTGAGAATGGAAGCTGGGGAAGTAAGAAACTAAACTCAGATCAACTGAAACACACAGGCGATAACTATACATCATCCTGGCTTCCTGTTCACAGTTCGACGAGTTGCTTCCCGTTGCTTCCCACGGCGTCGGCTTCAAACTGACAAAACCGGAGACCTGCCGGAGGACTTGGAGGACCCATGGAGCTTTGGACGGCCGATGTTGAACCCTCGCAAGCAGGAAGTGAAGATCCACAGCTGATCCTGCTTGCGAGGTGAACACCGGAAGGCTGTGGGAGGTGTTGTGGTGCTTTTCTTCATCCGCAATGTTCCCACTTTGGGGTCAGGTTCTAGAGTTCGTTTGGGTCAGATTCTCAAGGGTCGTTCAAGAAGAAAGTGATTTGGACTTTTGATCAGTCAAAACTACCATCAAAACTGACTTGGGAACGGCCTGGGTTCCCCAAAGTCAAAACTGATCCGATTTGGAATTGATCTTGTTCTGATTCCACTTGGGATCCGATTTCGGGGTTTTGGTCTCTATGGACTGACTTCGGATCATCAGCTGGTGTGGTCTGCAGAAGATCCTGGGCTTCCATGGCTCAAGCTGCGGCCTGAACCGCCTGGAGTGATGCATAGAAGATCTCGAGCAGTTTCAAGCCACTAGAGCCACCGTAGTCGTTGATGTTTGAAGTAAGGGCAACATAAAGGCTATATTCTCTTCGCTGGGAGATTCTTTTGAATCTTTGTTTTTGTTAGGCCAATGTTCAGGTTGGGGGTGTGTAGCAGAGAGCCTCAGTCGCCAAGCAGCATAGCAGTTTGGAGAACATCATCACACCGGATTTGCTGTATATCATGTAACGGTAGGGAGACACTGAAACCAATCATGTATCGCTGCAAAGGTGTGGAAATCCACTGATCACACAGAAGATTTCGTCCCTTTCCACCACCTACCACAGTGTCACTGGCACCCTCAAGTCTTCCGCACCGCCGGGCGCGACCACCACCCCGAAAAACGGCCGTTTCGCTTGGCCACCTTGGCTTCGCTTCGGGCGATGGACGTGCTGAGCTCGATTGATGAGTTGGGCAGCGATCTGGAAGAGGACATGCCCGAGCCGCCCAAGGCTTCCTCTGCACCGCAGCCAGGGTGACTTGGAGAGAAAAACCTACAGAATCCAGCCCTGAAATCAGGCATCCAGGGGCGGGCATGCAAGAAGCCTCTGCGAATCGGGGACTGCGGAGGGGATTCTTGTTGGAATCCATATGGTCCATATACCTAGATCTTCAGTCCGGCACTTTTACAGGGTCCGGCGCCGGACTTCCAACTCCGGCGTTTTTCTGGATTTGGTCCGGCGGTTTTTCCAAGTCACTTGAAATGTGGATTCTCAAGGCTTTGCATTCTTTGTGGCTTGCATTTCTTTGAAGGTAATGATTTGCTTGCAAAGTGTGCTCGTTTGCCTGTTCCGCTGTTTTCTCATTCCACGGGTTTCAGCATGGTTCACACTGGATCAATCAGATCCGTTTAGGTGATCTTCTAAGTGAAATCGGATGAAATTGGTACAGTGCGATGCACTGTTGAAAGACCCAAGTGGGTGTACCTAAGCTGAAAGAACATAGGCAAAGATGTACTCCCATTGTTTCAGGATGTCGGGGCGCTGGGATATAATTAGTTCTAGTTGCGCAGGTTTGCAGAGCCTGCCGGACAAGTTTTGGGCTGTGGAACATGTGTTGTTCAGAATCTCAATCTTTTGCAGAGAGTTGCTAAGAAAAATTGCACGTCGTAACTCCGGCGTTTTTTCCCGTAACTCCGGCGTAATTTCCCGTAACTCCGGCGTAATTTCCCGTAACTCCGGCGTATTTTTTTGGACTCAGTCTTTTGAAAAGTTTTTCAACTAAGAGTTTCGACAGGAACCATGAGTGCTGCTACTTTATTGGCGGGGCCGTCCTGAGGCAAGCAATAAAAAACAATTTAAAACCATACAAGAATCATGGAGAGCCACTTTGTAAAAAACAATTAGAGACACGGGTGCAGAGAAATAGGGGTTCCTTGCCACATACTCCTTGGTTTCTTCTTGGAAGTCTTTGCTTGGGCACAAGTTTGCTTATATTTTGTGATGGTTCTGCTCTTAGGCCATTCGGAAGATGGGCGAGGGCAATGGGAACGGGAAGGCTCCAGTGCTGGGTTGTGGAATGAGTGTGTTCCAGAAAAAACTACTTGTGGCGCAAAGGCAGTTTGCTTGTGTATGATCCAGCCTTTTATCATCTCTGTTTTTCAGAATCTTGGATCCGGATGTTTTTTCAGGTCTCCGGCGGTTTTTTCGGAATCCGGCGGAAAATTTTGCCGGATTGAGATCCGGCACTTTTTTCCGCCCAAAGGAGGATCCAGGTATACGTAGCGTCTCAGGATCTTGTGGATCCATCAATTCGGGGTGGTCCTTGTTTCTCACATGTAAACGTTGCAAGCATGTTGTAGTTCCGGCCAGATCGGGATGAGGATGAGGTAGATGGGATGGGAGGGAAGGAGGGGATTGCTGATAATTGGATATGTTTTTCAAATTGAAGAGATTCAGATGGAGATCGAGGTCTTCAAAGCCCCCACTTTTGATCTCTTCCACTCCCTGATTCTTTACCCCTCCCAGTTCCACCAAAGGGGGATGGATGCCATGGATCTTGTCAGCTTTTAAGATGCAGCGATGATAGAACAGATCACCTGGGTGGTGGGGGCTTTAGATATGATCAGTCAGATATGTTAATTGTCTTTTTTAACCTTTACTTGGGATGATTGAACCCACTGACCAATGTGTTCCTTATGGTTCAAGTGAGTTGACCCCACCAAGCAGTCATGAATCACTGTTGCTTTGGCAGGATAGGTCTGTGGTCTTGTGCGGATAAATGGTCATTTGTTCTGCTACTTGTTGCCCTTCAGATCCAGGTGGTGCCTTCAAACTGGCACGGACTCTGTGGTGGCCCAGTCCCTTGGTGTTGAAGCTGTCGGAAGATCTCACGACTGCGTCATCGAATTGGTGAAGTCTGACCAGAATATTGGCGATGGATGGCACTTCCGCGAGCTTTAGCCGTAATGATTTCACTGAATGTATAGAGATCTTGCGCTCTCATCAAAAAGCATGTTAAACTGCTCCGTCGCCCTGTGACCCGCCGCCCGACCCGCCGTCTGTCTTGTGCAGGTTGGCGGAGATCCTCCGTCGCTTGGATGACGTGGCCACGGGCGCGCGCCTCGAAGAGGTCATCGATCGCATGGACTCCAACTCCGCGCTGCTGAGGGTGCGCCCGGGGTTGACCGACGCGGGTTGGAACTGAGTTGTGGAAGGGAGTCGGGAAGGGGAGGGGGCCTGGAAAGGGAGATGTGACGCAGGATGTGAAGGGCTTGTGATTTGCCTCACAACTCCTGGTACTTTGAGGCTTTGGGGGAGACAAGGTGATTGATTGGCAACATGATCTAAGCAGACTTGTAGCAGGTGTAGGGAGCTCCACCACATGTTCAATGTAGCGGTTTGGCGGGTTTCAGCGACTGCGCAGATTGGGGTCGATCTCCCTGACTTCGGTGATTGGTGTTTTCCCGTTCGCCTGGGGAAGTAGCCAAAATTCCTCCACCTCCATTGCAGGTAGCTTGTGAGATGCTTTTCATCAAACGCATCCTTTGAAAGCAAGTAGGGAGACGCATTCCCGGGATTGTTCCAACTGATTCTGGGATGCTAGTAGTTCCAGAGATCCAGAGATGGATTGTAGAATTCCTGGTCATTTAACATGTCAGTATAACATGTAACATGTCTATATACTCATACTCTATACGGGTATTAAGGGTAACTGGGATTCATTGTGTACCACAATGAAAAAGAAACACCATGAAACACCCTTTTCATTCCTGTTCCAAGAGTCAACTTCCCTCCAGTTGTACCTTGTTGATTTGTATCGATATGCTGATATGCTGATGTGTCTCGTCCAACCGTTGACTCTAGTCACATGGGCACCATGGGTGGCTGGCTTCACACCGGTGCCAGCTGTTTGTTCAAACCGATGAGTTCAGTGCAACACGGACCGCCCGACTTCAAGTCATACGGGTGCTGGGACTGGGACTGCGTACCCGGACCTGTCAGGAAGCGCTACGGAACACGAAGAGTCCTCGCTTCAAAGGGACCTTAGACACCTTTGAGACCTTTGAGCCTCGACCGTAGACCGTTCTGTGGATGTCTTGCGAGGCGTGGAGGTGTTTCAGATGTTTGAGGTTTTGAGTCTTTGTTGGTCTTTGGAGCGCGGATCACCAATTCTATAGGTTGAATGATGGAAGCTTTTCGAATATCTTGGAATTGTTTCTTTTTGGCACACGGCAGGTGTGCAGAGGCTGAAACCGGATGAACCCAACCCGGATGAACCATGAGAACCCCCCTGGATGAACCGTGCAGTTGCTTCCTCATACAGTCATCCGAAGTCTTCTCGATCCTCCAAATCGCAGCATCTAATCTCCCAAAAGGAGCTCATGCCCACGGTGTACCTATGGATTCGTTGATGTTTGGAGTGTCTCTAGGGTTGAATCTAGGGGGATAGGGTGTTTATGCTGGATCACAAAGATGGCAACGTAGCAACCTTTAACGTTGATCACTGCTTGGAGGTGTCGTTGAAGACTGGACCTTGGCCCTCATCCAAAAAGCTTTGTCCACCTTGCAGGCCGAGTTTGGTTCGTTCCGCACTGAGTCAAGAGACCAGTTGCACACAGGTGGATGGACAACACCTAAGTGATACCACACTACAGCTCACAACTTTATTACAGTGCTTTCAGAGGTTCGATGGCCACCACGGATGTCCTTGGACACATGGGAGACGTGTGCCCCTGTGCCATCCAATACGCTTAGGGTCTGTCCGTTCTTCCCTGTAACAGTCAGTAAACAAGCAAATCACTACTTTCGGACAAGGCCTGCAACCTAACCATCATCATCCACTGAGGCCCAGGTAATAGGACAGACCCAAAATATAGTATAGATTCGGAAGGTCAGGCCGAGAAGGTGTTCTGCCCAAATCTATTTGACTGTGGGTCATGGCCTTGCTCGTTTCACCCTGGTAGGTGGATTCCGTGGTCAAACAGGGTCACCCGCTTAACCCACATGGTGCACCGCGTGTGCTGGTCTATATAGGGGCTGAAGATCCGGGGCAAAGACACCGCATTTTCACGAATTGAGAGGAACGAGTGCACATGAGTTGCTGTGTTTTTTTTTGGTTCAATTGTGAAATATGATAATATGACCTTTATGACCTTTGCAATGTTAATTTTGTGGATCCTTCCTTAGCTTTGCCTGTGAATTCCACAAGATTGCAGCATGGCAAAGAACAACGACTGTGACGCAAGACCTGCGCCGCACAGAACGCCTAAGACAGACCTGCGCCGAGGATACCTCCAAGTCATCCAACAATGAAAGCCCTAACTGCAACCAGGCACACACCGTGCGTGCCAGCTCGCGCGCCGCGCGCCGCGCGCGCGCCAGATCGCGCGCGCACCGGTGCGCGCACCGTCGGGTGGCGCATGGCGTGTCTGGCAGGTGAACTATGTTGGCTTAGGGGTTTGCCATTGTGTTGTGATTTGAGCTAGGAGTTGTCAGGATGTGAGGCATTTGGCACTAACCTCCCCACCTGATTCCTAGGATTCAGGCACAAACCGATGCAAACTGTTCTGCACTCAAGCAAAAGTTTGGGCTATAGCCTACGGACATTGCTGATTGGATGTCATGAGGACCTTTACGGGCCTTGCCGAAAGTTTGCGAGTTGCAACGGCCCTTTCCTATAGGCTGGTTGATGAAAAGAGGGGATATCCCCAAGTGAACAACCTATATAGGTACATGGTCCCAAATCGACCTTTGTATTCTATCCAAACGGACATCATTGGTTGCAACAATGTTCGAACATTTGAGTGCTAGTCACCTTGCGCAGGAAATACCATGGAAAACATGTGACAAACTCAAAGTACTTTTTTGTCTTCTGGTACACCAAATAGTTCCTTGTAGTATGTTGTTAAGCGTTGCAAAAGTTACTTTTTACAGAACCATGTTTGTGCAGTAAAACCTTCATTCTTGCAAGAGTCTGTGTCTATTTGCTTATAACAGGTTAAAACGCAGCATTTGAGACATCTGTTCCGGCTAATTCCATTCTTTAATTTACCCTGTGAATGCAATTTTGGTGCGGAAAGCGGTTTGTAAGCAAAAGCACATGTGTTTCAAACCCGTTTGTTTCAAATATGTGCATCCGTTGATTGAATTGTTCAGCCCACAATGACCTCAAGAGTCAACTGCACGTCTTCTTACCCGATATGAGGAAAACTTTAAGTTGGATTGGATATTGGGGCCAGGGCACTTGGATAATGAAATTCAATCAACTATGATTCTTCATATTGGGGCCCGGCCCTTCAAAATTGTATGTTATTAATAGGACCTTCCAACAGGTGGTTTTTGGACCACCCCTTAACCCGCTATTTATAGACACCCCTTGCAGGGTCCTGACGGTGATGCTTTGGCGTCACCTCAGTCGCCTCACGGGGACTCCATGCCAGGCCGTGGTGCACAAGCAGGCCGGGCCGGCCCAGGAAGGACGGCCTGTGAAGCCAGTTGATAGATGTGGGAGGTGGGGTGGTGTGTTTCATGGCCTAGCCACGCCACTTGAAAGCCTTGACGAATGAGGATGGTCAATTAAATACACCAACATAGGGTGGAAGGGGAAGAGTACCAAATATGCAACAAGGAGTAAAATACTTGTTAAGTCTTCCAAATCTTGATGTTGCCAAAGCTTACATGGTAAAGCAGCAACAGCGAGACATATCATCAATCGACAGAAGAATCTTTCAACATCATGAAACTTCTGAGGATCAAACGTGTCGAACCCCAACATATGAGGACCCCAATCATTCCCCCGAACATCTTCTTTGAACCCAGAACAGCTCCTTTGAATCTCTATGATGTTCATCTCCACCATGGGTGTGTATAGGGAGAGCCCCCCGGGAGACCACGCCCGGTGTCCACTCCGATCCCGGTGTCACCAGACCCCGGCGCCTTTAGGTGGCACAGAGGCGGAAGAGTCAACGTGCACCCCCCCGAAAAAGAGCACCACATCATCATATAAAGGACCTCAACAGGTTCTTATATGGCTTCCCCCATCGAAAGGAGGATGCCTTCTGAAAAAGACGCCTCTCTTCCATATATGCATATGTCAATATTCATGTGAGTCCTTTTAATGTCCAAGGCTTTATAGTTTTTCGAAGTGGATGCCATGCCCGGACGTAGGTCTTGTCTCCCCAGTTGGCCACAGGCCTCGGACCAGTCCTCCTTGTCCCGGGTCCGTGTGAAGCCGAAGAAGAAGATCTCGATGCACTCGGCGGGCACGGGACTGTCACCTGGCGCAGCGGCGTGGGGGAAGTGGGGATTGAGGGGTTTCTGGGCAACATCAACGAGGTTCAACAAGCAAAATTGCCAAAACAAGGCGAATGTATGCACTCATTATAAGTAAGTTTTTTTTTTTTGCGCGCCTTTTCTGATGTGCGAATGGGTGCTAGCCGAAAAAGGATCTTAGATCCTGGGAGCCGGATGCCAACAGACATCGTTGGCGGAGCTTGTCCGTGAGCTCAGGCTCATTGTCCTGCACTTTGGTGCGGCTGTGACACCTGGTGCAAAAGGCCTTGTTGCCGCACCTTTCCATCCTGTGCGATGGGTGCCCCTGCCACTGCTCTTCTGGAATGGGTCCCACAACACATGGCTCGTGAAGCCAGTGGTCGAAGTTCTCCTGAGAAGTTCTGGCCAGGACATAGCCTTTGCACTTGCGGCAGCGAACGTAGGCACGGTCCAAGAAGATGACGTGCTGACCTGGAATCTCCTCAGTTTGTGCTTGGATCAGGTCCTCAATGACCTCCATGCGCGTCTTGCGCTTGACAGGTTGAGTCATCCTCGCGACACAGTCAGACCCCAAGGCATCTCGGAGCTCCTGAATGAGGCTCTTCGAGTGAAGGCGAGCTTTGCAGTGCTGACAAGACGCGCCCGAGCGGAAAGGGATCCAGCTGTGGCCGCCTTGGTTGGGCTTGGCAAGCAGTTCCTTGAGGAGCTCCTTCTTTTGCTGAATGAGAGGGACTTTGGAGGAGTCCTGGCCACCACCTTTGTGGAAGTAGTGGGACTTGTCCGTGAGCAGGTGTTCAATTCTGCCAGCCGCAGCCAAAAGAATGGCTTCAGCATCTTCGTCGATGTTGGCCTGCAGATCCAAGATGGCCGTGGGGGTGTGGCGTGCTGCCGCTGCTTTGGCCAGCTTGGTGGTTTCAAGGTGCAGGAAGCTCCGGAGTGGATTCTCTTTGAGCTCTTTCCTTGCAAATAGCAGCGGTCGGACCATTTCGAAGTCCTCGCACTCAAGGCCCGTGAAGAGGTCCGGATAGTGCTCATAGGCTTGATGTGGTGTCCAATGCTTCCACACTTGATGGTCATAGATGGCGACTTGGATTTTCTCTTTGACATGTAGAGCGAGATGCTTCAAGGCGTAAAAGAGGCAGCGATGCTTGGAGACTTGACCTGGACAGACCCCAGTCAGTGAGGCCACAAGCTCTCTGTCAGCAATGCGGTGTACTGCAATGGCAAAGCAGAAACGCTTATGTCGACTGTCCTGACAGGTGGGCGCCAAGGCAATGGTGAAAGCATGGCCCGTGCCGAAGGCGAGGGTCTCCTGCGTGTGCCAGTAGCCAGTGCCCTCAAAGGACCCCACGCCGGTCTCTACCTGGTAGAAGATGGATTGAACCATTCCTCGGTTCCAGAGTTCAGGCTCGGTGCCGGCTGCCAAACGCTCTTTCCATTGCTCAGTAGATCTTTGACTCGACCTTTCCAGTATTGGCATTCCCAAACCAAGTGCACAAAGGTGAGATCTTTGGCGCAAAGGGGGCAGGTGCCCTGCTGACCATGCAATGTGCCTTGGTGGAAGGTTCTCAAAGCCGTGGCTGTTCGCTCACTTGTGGACTTTTGGAGTCTCCAACTGGTCGTCCAATCTAACTGCCTTTCGAGGTCATGGCAGCCCTCATACCTGGTCAGGCGGAGCAAACGTTGCCACTTAAACTCCGCAGTGAGCTTCTGGAGCAAAACCGGCCAGCAATCCTCAAGGGAAATGACACAGTCAGGAATGCCTCCGTAGCCCGTCCTCTTCCATTGTTTGCCATCGTGGATGTCGAAGTCATAGTCGAGCAAATAGGCTTGCAAGGCCTGCATTGGTCCAGAGACAACTTGCCATCTGTATCGAACCTTGAGAAGAGCGCCCAAGGCAATGTTCCAGCTGGACCAGAAGAGATGCTGTGCACTCTCAGGGAAGGCATGGTAGATCTTCCACACAGTGTGCAGATGTTGACAGATGATGGAGTCAGCCGGGTCTGGAAGCTTGGGGTGCATGTCAAACACCACATCTACAGAGCCGCTCCTCTATAGCCGAAGACCTCGAGCTGCAAGGACTCTCAATTTTTGTCGCCTTTGAGGAGACAACCCATTGGCTTGAGCGCCCCAAGTCATTACCGGGTGTATGGCCCCTCGATGAAGCCGGTACCGTGTGGTGGGTGCCAAACGAAGACGATGGAGAATCCCGGTGCGAGCACTACCTTTGGTGAAGCGTTTCTTGACCTGCATCACCCTTCTCCTCCGGCTCCCAGTTGCATCCACCCCGAGGTCCCGAAGAACATCGTAGTGTTCTGGATCATCAGGGCCCAGGAGCTGCACCAATTCCTTCCGGACTTCTTTGGTGCTGGTGATGAAGCCAGTTTTGTCCGTGTTCAGTTTGAGTCCTGCCGCTTCAAGCTCGGCTTTGAAGGTCTTGAAGGCCAAAAGGGCTTCTTGGGCAACATAGGCTGGATCACGGCCTTGGACATCATACGAGACATCATCAACCCAAGTCTGTAAGGCCACCGCCGGATGTTGTTGTACCAATTGTTTCAGGGGCTTGTAAAGGATCAACTTGGAGATGGCTGGGGCTTGAGGACAGCCCTGGAGGATCCCTCTGTGGTAGTGCTTCGGTTCCCCACTGATGCCTTCGGCTTGGATGGTGCGAGGTCCTGTGTACAGGTCCAAAGCCAGCTTGAGGTGCACCACTGGGTATTGCAAGATCCTGGCCGGTTCGATGATGTGGTCCAAATTGACGGTGTCGTAAAAACACGACAAGTCTGCCAGGCAGGAAACCGTGTGAATACCATGGTGCTTGGAGACTTCGGATTTGAGCATACGGCCGATGGCAATCGAAAGGCAATCTTGGTGGGGCCTCGCTTTATCCCAGGGAAGTTCCTCATCAAGAGTCAGTTGCCATCGCTGCAGGTCATACTTGCGGTATCGATTCCAAACACGGTACAGGCAGGAGGTCAAGGCAATGGGCCTTTCAACTTTGGAGTTCTTGGGGATCATGACAATGTTGGTGAGTGTCAACTGCGTAGGCAAGGTAGCCGTGGCCTCCATCTCAGTGAGGAGTTGAGCGAGTCTGGTCACTGCCGGATACGGTAGGTGCCGCAGGAAGTCATAGGAGATCCCGTCCGGGCCTGCAGCTTTGTTGGGAAGTTTCCGCAACACCTTCTGCAGTACCACTGAGTCAATGGGAGGCATACTCAGGGCATGATGTCGGGCGGCGGCCGTGAGAGCATTGTATCCCCTGATGTGGCATGGTCCGTCTGATGGCCACCAGATCTCACCCCATTGTTGTTCACGTGCTCGTATTCTGTCCAAAGCTGGCAAGTCTTGGAAGGGCCTTTGCCACGGAACATCTTTCTGCCTGAGGTTGCGAAAAAGTCCTCGGAGACCTTGAGTGTGAGCCTTTTCCAACCAGGCTTTGAACTCGGCACCTCCAGAACTGAGAAGGGCTTGGTGGGCCTGTTGTTCCTGCTGCTGGATGATCCGCTTCAGCTCGGTCGGGTCATTTTGAGGCTGTTGAACCCAAGTGTTCAGCAAGGTGGCGAACAGGTCCTGTGCCAGGTCATCCGTTGCCTGTTGAGGCAAAGCTTGGAGCATATTGAGGAGGTCGGTAGCAACCTTCTGATGGTGTGTGTGGTGCAAGATGTTGACCCGAACGGCCATGCGTTCCCAATAAGCAAGTTGACCCTTCTTCCAGACTTGCGGCCTGATATGATCAACCAGAGGTGCAGATCTCATCAAAATGTGATGGCCTCGTCCTTGTGTAGGATTGTGCAACAACTGGGTCAAGTATTGCTCAGTTTGACTCGCCCATCGGGCTAAATCGGAGCCCAAGCCAGTGATGGGAATGCCAGCGATGGAAAAGGGGCCGTCGGCTTCTTGGAAAGATGTCCAGCACTGAGGCAAGGAGTGCACCTTGCCGATAGGCGGAAAACGTTGTAGCTGCTGGACTTCCACATCCGGAGAGTCGCAACTCAAGGTGAGAGCGAGCCCACAATGTGGTTTCCACGGCACTTCCCAATCAGCCGTGAGTTGTACCGAGCTGAGCAGGGCATTGGAGATCAGCAGGTAATCAAGTTGTGATCCATGTAAAGTGGTGGCCTGCTGAGTGTCCAAAATCTGGCAATTGAATTTGCTCAGGATCACCGTGGCCGCCATGGAATCCGGAGAGTTCTGCCAGTCTCCTCCAATGATGAAAGGCGCATGGGTGTGATCCAGCAGGTTGAGCAACTTGGAGAGCAGGTCTGCATTCAAGGGGGACTGCAAGGATTCCCCGGTGCGGAGGTAGACCTGGATGAGCAGGATGAGGGTCCCTTCTCGCTGGAGGCCCAATGCCGTCCATCCATTGCCTTCCTGGGTGTAGGTTTGAACATGATGAGTCAGATGGCGTTGGCCATGGAGTGTGAGAAATCCTCCCGTGGTGCCTCCATTTCCAGTGGGGCTGGCCTCAACGCCATAGGCCTTCCATCCTCTGGTGGTGAAGTACTGCAAGGCCCCTTCTAGTGCTTTGGCTCCCAGGTGAGTCTCCTGTAGGAAGAGAAGATGATCAGGTTTGGTCCAAACCCAATCCTGAACTTTGTGACCAAAGTTGGTGACATTGCCAAAGAACAGGCGCAGGGTCTCATACTGAGTCCTTGGCTTTTTAAGGACCGGCTCCCAAGCTTCCAGAGCATCCGGCTGCAGCTCGTCCAAGGTCTCCAGGATGAGCCAAACCTGAACAACTTGGGCCAGATGTGCCTGTTGGAGCTGCGGTAGCGGAACCGGATATTGGTCGTCATCAGCAAACCAATAGGCATTGTCCAGACAGTGAATGGCTGTGTAGTGCCCATTCTCATGTCCTTGACCTTGGTGCAAGATGAGGCTGATGACCTTGTAGGTGGCCATGTGGACATGGATGCCATCATCAGAATATGGTAGGCGCACCGTGACGGGAATGTCGACCGGGTGCTCATGTTTAGTCCAGGATCCCTCCACCTGCTGGA